TATATTTTAATTACATTTATAACTTTCAAAAAGCTTTTTGTAAAAATCCTAAACTTATTAAAAGATGGTTTTAAATGATATTGAATATATGAATAAAATATGATATTCAAGACTATAATTTCTATAATTTCAATAAAATAAGCTTTATAATGGGAATTATAGTTACTTATATAATTATAACTAATATTAAACGAAATAACAGAAGTAAAGCAATACAGCCAGGCAATTGAGAATAGACTACAGCAATTATATATAACAATAAAGAGAATAAAACTATATCTTTATTTCTGATAATTTAAGGATAAGTTTATCTTTCGAATTGGTACACCGAAATTAATCTTCCTATAGATTAGGCTATCAAACCTACTTCCAATGAATAAATGAATAATAAAATAAAATTAGAATAATTAAAGTATTTCGATAAATATATTATTTATTAAAAAAAGAGCAAATATTAAATATTAATACTAAATAAATACAAAAGTTATAAATCAATATCTTTTTAATTATATTATAAAGCAAATAATATAGTATATATAAAACTATTAGTATATTCTAATTATTTAATTCAATTATTTGATGTTGGATATTTTAGTATCCTGAAACACTTGTATAATAATTAAATTGATGAATTTATTAAGATATATATTAATTATATCTCTAAAATTGAATTCTTTATAGTTTTCAAAACTATATATCAATAATCAATTATATTTTAGAATATAAAAGCTAGATTTCAAGGAATTGGATTAATATTATTTAATTCTAAAGCTATATTTTCTAAATTAGATATTCGAATTTATATATCTATTCCCTCCCTTTTCAATCCAGATCCTTGAATCTCTCAAACTCCTTATAATTCAATTAAAGCTTTTTCTCAATTAATTTTAATAAAATCTTGAATAAATTAGTATCAATTACACTTTTTTATATTTATATTTGAAACTATATTAATTCTAATTAAAGATATAAAGAGATTAGTTTATAAAAATACATTTCTAAATACAAAAAATTGTATATTTCGAAAAACAAATAAAACATTAAGTAAATATCGATATATAAAAAAAATTCAATTATATCAAAAAGAAATATTTATTGAATAAAAAACTCTTAATATATTATCTTAATAAAAAATTGATATTTAGATTTAATATAATAAATATCAAAAAAGAAGGAATTCTAATAGGGAAGTATCTTCTAATTAATGCTGTAGTATATATAGAAAAACTGATCATAATTCAAGAACTTGTCAAAATAGTATAATAAACCCTAGATTATTAGATCCTTAAAAGTTTCAATCAATTGATTAAGTAGTTGTTGAATAATACGAAATTGAAGTGATTGAATGGTGAAAAAAGTGGCGACCCGGTGATATTGGCGACCCGATAATAAACCACGTTATGCTTCTTTGTTTATAGATTACATAATAAATGATTGATAAAACGCGTATTGAATATAAAGAGTGTAAATTAGAATGAAAATGATTCACTCGGTGATAAATTACGTTATATAGAAATTCTTTAGTATCGGAATAATATCGGTCTGATGCCGGTTCCACATCGATGCCTGTAATAGTAAATTTAATTATTTCAAAAATACTTTAATTTTCTATTTATATAACTTTATTAATAAAAATCCTAAAAATAATTTGTTTTATTTTTATTATATCTTTATAAAAAAATAAAAAAATTAATATAAAGAAATTTTTATATTATATTATAAATTATAAAGAAAGTTGTAATTATAAATGATGAGTTTTGGTGTAAAAAGCGCTTTGGCTGATAGCAGTTGGCACTAACTGTATTTCCTCGATTTCTCGATTTCTCAATATCTCAATATCTCAATATCTCAATACCTCCATATTTAGTATATCTAGTATATCTACTAGATAGTATATCTCCACTCCACATCATGAGATTACTCGGTTTATGGGATTTCCTTTTAAGCCATCTCATATCATCTCACATTGCGAATTTCGTTTTGTTATAATATACACAGAATAATACATTATGATATAATATAATACAAACCACCTCATCTCTCCAGCACAAATATGTACAAATATAGTACAGTACAGTACAGTAGGATACAGTAGAATTCCAACCCTACAATCCCTACAATCCCCATCATCCTTATAACGTTATATATACAATAGATAGATAGATGGGTATCCACTAGGTAGGTATCCTTACTACAGACTACAGACTACAGTCACAAACTTCTTAGAGCCTCAGTAGGTATCCAGATATAATCAGATCTATGATTTCTATGATTTCTACGATTTGGTATGATATCGTACTACCCTACCCTACCTTACCTTACCTTACCTTACCTTACCTAATAAATAAATAAATAAATATATGCAACGTACGTACGCACGAACTACAGATATTTTTACGCACCCTTGCTCTCTCTCTCTCTCTCTCTCTTAACCCTAATTTTCAGCCCTCATCCATCTTTGACGTATGATGAGGTATGATTTATGATCTATGATTCGCATTATATTTGTTTATATTATCTTACAGCATATATTCTTGTACAGTTACACCTTGTATAGTTACATCGGACTTCCATATCGTATCGTATCATATCGTATCATATCGTAGCGTATCGTAGTGTATTGTAACCTTACGAGTACTGTATTGCTTAAGGTTTGTGCATTGAGGGAGGTTGCTATGCGTGATATGGGTGGGTGGATGAGGGGCCTTGTCTTGGTGGTTGGAGTTGGGGTTTGGGTTTTGGGGTTTGAGGCTGGATGGTTGGATGGTTGGAGAATTGGAGAGTTGGTGATGGTTTCTTGGGGAGTGAGTGGGTGGGTGGATGGGTGTGAGATTTTGGTTGTGGTGTATGTGTATGTATGTATGTATATAGGTGAATGGATGGAATGGATGGATGGGGTGTTGAGTTTCTTGACAATGGTGAAGGTGATGAAGATGTTCTCAATTTGCATTTCGGACGCATTTCATACCTACCCACCGTTCAGTAACGCGTCTTCATTGAGCATTTTCGAGATTTCGGGGATGGTAGATGCAGGATTGAGATTTGGGTCGTACTGCTATGTCTGTATGTACTATTCATTTCATTACGATCTCCAAATCGTTTCCTCACTCTTCTTCGTCTTTATTGCTTTTTGTGTGAATGCTCAAATAATCTCTCTTCTCTTCTCTTCTCTTATATGCACCATCTCTTCCTATTTTATTATCCAATCAATGGAATTGATAAATTGCAAGCGCATTTATATTGGGTTAGAGGATAGCTGTAGCTATGTATGTCACTAGTGACGAGTAGCTATTCAAGTTCTCAGTGAGCTCGGTATCATCTCGTAATCCGTAGCGGGGAAACCTATGAAATAGGGTGTGTTTGATAAATGCTGGATATTTGATGGTTGAAATGTAGATTTATAATCGAGCACTCATCTCATCTAAGAAAAGAACTGGAATGTCGAGGGGGAATGCCATATAGAAAAGAGAAAAGAGAACGTTGGACAAGTGGGATAAATATTTAGTGGGGGAAAAGGAGAGAGGAAAGAGAAGTCTGATTGTTTTGTGGTAATGGGGACGGAGTTACGACCTTGATTTTGCTTGATTTGATTTGGATTGGGTTGAGCGGACAGCGAGGTGTGTGATTTTGTGGATTTTTTTGTATGGGTAGGCCTGCATCGATTGCGGATGGCTGTGGATAGAGGGAAGAAGATTACTTTGACTTGTTTTCTGATATTTCTGTTTCTGTTATGCATGTGGATATTGGATTTGAGAGGGGAAGTTGATACTATTCGGAATATGGAGATCGGAAATGTTTTTCTTTTCTTTTTGGAATGAATTATGTGTCTCACAGGGTGGATAAGTAGAACATCGAAGATGGATGGAATCAAAGAGGTTGAAATTGGTATGATTCAAGGCAAGCCGGGGTGCTGGGGGTAGAGTATAGTTCATTATATGGTTATTATTCCCTTCAGGTGGAAGTGAGGGGTGAATGTGATCGCTAGTTCTTCATGAGGATCTCGCCACGTTACGCGAAATGGAGATTCGAGTTCGATGAATGTGATGGTAGAATGCCTTCTGAGTGGTAATTGTTGGTTTGAGAAGGATACGAATGACGTAGAACCCAGCATGTAGGCTCTAGTTGTTAATATGTATTCTGTCTAATGAGCTAGTTAACTACGAATGGAATAGCCCTTATACAAAGGCCATTGAGGGCTAGCCTTCGCTTGTGCTTAAATATGGTCACAATGGCTTTGAATTTGAACCTGTGTTCACACAATAATTCACATGAGTGTCTTGATACCCTCGGTGTTGGCGTTTGGAGAACGTTGTAAATGAATCTATCTGTGTGTTGGGAGTACTGGGTTTGTAATATGAAGTTGTGGGTAATTGATACATTTGCCTGAAATGGTATCAAGCAATGGCTCTTCAGTTATCATTAGCGTTTTCTGTATGTTTATGATATCATTCATTCACTCAGCAGAATTAAACAATGAGAAAAGACATTTTGAGATCAATCACGTGATGTCCTCTGTATGACTTCTTGCCAGTTGTGGAAGTTGTGGAGTGGTTCTGATGAATGTGCTTCGAATTTGCGATAGCGTGAGATTGGTCAGCACCCCATTTCGTGAGTTTTGTTATCATTCTGAATTATGATAGACTTGTTTTCACGCAGAGTAGGATAATTGGAAGGTTACGATAATTGATTGATGAAGATTATTGTTCCTACTCCTTCATAGATTTCTCAAGGCAGAAATGGAATGAAAGGATTGCAATGCGGGTTGCGAGAACACATATACTGATGTCGGGTTGAGGACACATAATATCCAAATCATGAGCATAGTTGCCTAAAAGGATGACATGATGAAAGATACGTCTATAAATACTGAAAGTATCAGCGCGATGATGATCAGATTGCTCAGCATCATTGATGTTCATCATGGCGTCTTCGTGTGGTCATACTTTTCTCGCTCGATTATGCTACTTCTTGTGGTTTTGTTCTTTTTGATGATACAGACAATGGCTCAAGAGGCTTTTGACGAACAAGACGAGCTGGCGGCACTTGAAGAAGAATTGACATATTTTGAAGAATCGGATATGGGTCTGTCAGACGAAATTTATATTTCTTCACCAAGAACATTCAAACCAAAATCGCCAGAGGCCTACCAGAATCTTCACGTCGATTACATGGGCCCAGATGATGCACTATATTCCAACGAAATGCTTCAATTTTTCAATAAACCCACATCCATTGAATGTAGACAAGCAGTCCAAACATTCGAAATTACAGGTAACTATGAAAGAGACACCCAAGGCGCAAACTGGACCGATATTACACATTTCCTTACCAATCTTCCCAATCTCTCAATATTGCACTGGAAAATTCCTATAGCTATTCCCCCCGAGATACTCTCCAATCTCAGCATAACGAATCCAGATGCCCGCATCTATTTACATGACCTTCCCCCCACGAGAGATCCCAACAATCATCGTTACGAAGACTCAGAGGATCCCATCGTCATTGTAAATCGTCTAAACGAAGATACCGGTTCGATCCTTGGGTCTCCATTATTATATTCCATCAATGCCGATATTGAAATGTCCTACATGTCAGATCCAGCTTCGATGCGAATTCTTTTCGAAATTCTGCGCTCCAATCCGCCGAATATGCGGGAATTGCAGTTGGGATTCTCGCAACATGGATGCGATGTTGGTAATGTGGTTAGTGCATTTCCTTTCCTTTCGAGCGAATTCAATACCGATCAGGAAAATATGACATCGACACAATTTCCCCCGCTGGAAAAATTGGTCGTCGAAGGATATGATTTTGAAGAATCGCCTGATGGCGGAATTGGATGGTATCTGGATATCGAAAGGCCCGAAATCGATTGGCGAACACTTCTCGAGTTTCCTTGGAATATACTCCCAAAATGGTATATTAATTGGTTGGGAGAGTCTCATTTGAGATCTGTATGGGACGCTATTCGTTATATACCTCCAGAGCGACTACCTTCTCCTGATGGGGTGTCAAACTTGGCTGTGTGGTTAAAAGTTATGGATTGGTCTAAATTGAAGACTTTGCATATGGAAAGGCCTAGTTCGGTCGCGATTCAGGAATTGGGGATTTTGGTTGCATTAACTGGATTGAAAGAGCTGAGAATCGACGGAATGAGATGTCTACGGCGATCTGACAGAGAATCAGAATGGGAAATAGTAGTGAATTTTCTGGAGAATATAGCGAGTAACGGGACAAGTCTTACATCTCTGTGGATCCGTGATATTCCGTTCCCGAAAATGATGAGCGGCAAGAATGTAACAACTGAATATAAAGCTACGGAGAAATTGCTGGGTGCTTTATTACGACATACGAATCTCACAAAGCTTCACTTGTACGATGGGATACAATTTTCCTCTTCGGAGTCGTCTTCACAATCGCCGAAGCAAATTCCCATCCTGGTTTCTGCACTTAATTTGCCGTCGATTGAAAATCTCGCGATTGACATACAGTCACTCCCTGGTTCTAATTTCTCAAGCTCCAAGAATGGTAATTTGACGACCGATGAAATTGATCCGGAAATTTCAGATGAAGAGATGTATAAAGCTTTCACTCCTTTTGCTCAACATCCTCGATTTAAGAGCGTGGAATTCCATGTTCCAGCACCTGAATGCTGGAGGGATCAAATGAAACTTGCTACAGGATTAGGGATACAGGACAGAAATTACAGTAACCCAGGGAGGAAAGCGGATGCGTTGGAAGTGGAAAGATGTGAGAGGGAAGAAGAAGAGTTGGGAGAGAGGACGAGAAGATTGCTCGGGTGGATGAATGGGGAAAGAGAAGGGATCGGGGAAGATGCGATTAGAAGCTTGAGGGTTGTGGTGGGGGAGGAGGCGCGTGGAGTGATGGAGGGGGTGGAGTGGGAGATGCTGGGAACATCGGCGGGTTTTGAATTCATGGGGAAGATTGGGGTTTGGGAATGCTGGATCGATGAGGGAGCAGCGGTGCCAAAGTGCAAGGGGGGAAGGAGATGGCGGGACTATGGAATCTGGTGGTAGTAGGTATGTGCTAGAACATTTTAATGAGTTGGACGAATGATGAGGGGCAGAAGTCATGAAGGAGGAATCTAAGATTGTATTAACAGATCGAGTAATCTGATTTTGATTATCATTCCAATCCTATTTCGAAAACGTACGCAACTCCTAGCCAGTAGACTCGGAGAGTTCCCCGATTCTTTTCACGGGATATGGATATGAATGCGACCGGTGGGTGAAGCTTACACTTACGACGCCACATAAGTGGTGACATAGTATCAATATAGTCAATACCTTCCAGAAGAGAGTACTCCAGCTAAATTTTGAGTTGAAGCATATTCCAAATAACTGCATGGGAGTCACATGGCCGATGTCATGGAACAAAATGAATATAAACAATCACATAGGATCAATATGAGGGGGGTATCGGGCAGGTAAATTTGAGGCAAAATCCGAGAGAAACGTTTTCCAAATCTACCAGGGAGGAATCATTAATAGACTGTCTTGATCAATTCAGAGATCGATATCATACAGGTTGAATACGGTATTGTGTACTTGAGATGATCTATATTTTCCTTTGGCTCTACAAGTAAATGATATTCGGCGTCAAATTGATTGTAAATACTATCTCATCAAACGATAACCAAGAACAATCGAATTCGCAATCACTTGATTCCGACATAAACAGGAAATCATTCTACATGAAATCAATGATATTAAAAGGATCGACGACGAGATGAAAACCGTTATATATGCTTGGTCAAACCACAAGAGAAGGCTGAGACAAGTGGATAAGAGGGCTCTCGGTTATCTTAAACGGGCGGGACTGATAGAACCCTTCGAAATCTCCCGGTGAGGCTGTTCTCGACTTTTCTCCAAGGCTGTCGTCTTGCTGTCCTTAGAAATTATTCACTCCACTTTTCTGGCCGCTTTTACATTTCTCCAATTCTGCCACTTTCAAACCTTAATACGAAAGGATACCATTAGATACCGGTCAATCAAGCTCAAGACGACGAAATTGATTTGACAACAAACGATTCATTCCTGCACATACATATACATACATACTTCCTCATTAATTGTACCTTTCTCACACTCATTTTCTGGCTCATATAGTCATGATAACTACAATACTTATAATCTGTTAATGCCGAGATTATTAGAGGCATTGCGCCTCAAATCCCCCTTGATCTTTAAACCCTTTTCTATAAATCAAGAATTAGGCAAATCGAGGAGCTGATCCCCAGTCACCAAATGTCTTGGGATTTGTTAAAGCGATTTATCGAGTCCGATGTTTTCAATCAGAATCCATTCCTCTCTGTAGCCTATCTTTCGTATGCCAATTACCCCTTTCCCTTCGATCGCAGACTCCCTTTACTGATTGCTTGAGTTGGCAGACGGTATGCAGACCATGTCGGGATACACTATGTTCTTTGCTCGAAGTTGCGACAATTTAGTTATGAGGAGATTGAGTTCTTCCTCCCGCAGCTATGCCACCTAATTATTAGTGTCAATAATGAGTCTGTGGCTCTGGAGGAATTCATTCTGGATTTGTGCGAGGAATCGGTCAATGCTGCATTATTGGTGTGTTTGGAGACAGGACATACGAGATTGGACAAATCACTAACTAGGATCGCAGACATTCTGGTTGTTCCAAACGTATCTCCACGATCTTTCTGCGAATCCTCAATCCGAAGCTTTCAAAACATGCAGACGAATATATAATAAGGTCCAGCATATCGTGTTTGGGGTATCGGAGACTCCAACGAAGAAGATCAGTGAGAATGTCTTACCTGTTACCGTTCTAGCGAGTTTCGTCCTAGCGAGTATTGCAGTTCCTTTTCTACCAAAATGGGCTGGACCATTGGCTATTTCACAGGCACGGAAACCTCAAAGTACAGGAAATGTAGTTGCAGATACCAGTCAGATGCAGTCACAAAAGATTGTTCGAAGTCATACAACGACACCGGGATCTACACGAACAAAGCAGAGAAGAGAAGCCGCAAGGATTGGCAGCGCTTCAGGCAGTGGTGGTCTGAATAGTGCTGGACCCTCTGAAGCCCCACCAGATCTCGCTCGATCGAACTCCTTAACAAGACCCACCTCATCAAAATCTAGCCGAAAGGTACCCCTCGAACAAATACGGCCTTCGCACTTGGACCTCAAAGCATTGGACCCTCGAAATTCAAGCTCGGCATCTCTTCCAGAACTAAGGAATCCAAATTTACCTAGTAGACCAGCAACACCCGTTACAGCTGGTCTTCCAACGAGACTGACTGAACCTATCAACAAAAGATACTCTCAGCATTCACATGGGGGAAAAATCGTGACTCCAGCATCATTAACTGACAAGCAGAAAGTCAAATTACTAAGGCAAAACTATTTTCGTTCTGAGACTCAATTTTTAACGGCTCTGGAGGATATATCAAATCGTCTAGTCATCGTTCCAAAGCCAGCGCGTCTCAGTGCATTGCGTGCTGAACTTGCACTGATTGCTCAGGATTTACCAGCTGAAGTTGATATACCAGTTATTTGTCCCGCCACACTCGTGGATGGAATTCCTAGCAAGAGTAAACATCACCGTATTGTTCGTCTAAACCCAGCGGAAGCGACAGTACTGAATAGCGCCGAAAAAGTACCATACCTTTTGATGGTAGAAGTACTTCGGGATGACTTCTCCTTCAACCCGGAAACCCTAGACAATGAACGTTTGTTGAGCCGATTAGTGTCAGAGGAAGGAACCCATAAGAGACGAAGATTTGACCTCTCGGAATCTGGACGATCGTACAGCAGTCACATCATCAAAAGTACGGATAATACCCCCGATAGTGTTTTTGAGCCAATCAGTGGCGATTTGGGCAGCTCACCATTAATCAAAGAAACAGATCACGACGAGGAGGACGTACACACCCCAACCTACAAGGAAAATGTCACAACCTCTCGGCCTACGCGCAAATCAAGCGGTACAACGACTTTATCGAGCTTATCCGGTGTTGCAACACCTAGGACATCCGGAACATCAACGTCTAGATCCATCAGTCCCACGCCGAGAAGGAAGATGACCATTCCTGGAGCAGGTCGATCGGGAGAGAAAGATCAACCAGACTTTTCCACCTTAACAACACATATTAGGACTGCTACACAAATGCTTACCCAACTCAATTCAACGAGTGGGAAAAGACCCAAACACGAGGTTGATGCAATTCGTCATAAAATCATCGCCAGTATACAGAGTCTTGAAGAGCAAAATTACGACTCAGAAGACAATGTGCAATCACAGACTTTTGACATGATCATGGAGAAAGCGAACGCGGCCGCAGCAAATGTTGCACCGGAAGATATCGAAGAAGAATCGCCAACTGATCCAGATGCTGTTATTAATGTTGGAGCTGGAGCCGCTCGAATGGAGAACGATCAAAAAACTGGTGGTGTTCAAAGAAAGGGGGATAGAGACGATCCAAGCGCTGCAACATTTGGAGAAGCTTGGAATGTCAAGAAGGAACGTATCAGAAAATCCTCGCCATATGGGTGGATGAAGAATTGGGATGTTTTGAGTGTCATCGTAAAGACAGGTGCTGATTTACGACAAGAAGCATTTGCATGTCAGCTCATTCAATGCTGTGATAAAATCTGGCAGGAAGCAGGAACTCCAGTTTGGGTCAAACGAATGAGAATTTTGGTCACTGGGGAGTCATCTGGTCTGATAGAGACAATTACGAACGGTGTATCCTTACATTCGTTAAAGCGTAGTCTCACACTTGCCACGATTGAATCAGGACAAAATCCTCGGAGGAGAATTGCCACCTTGAAAGATCACTTCGTGAAGACCTTTGGACCGCCCGACAGTGATGCGTACAAAGCTGCAGAAGACGCATTTAAAAGATCACTCGCGGCATACAGCATTATCTCTTACATTTTACAATTGAAAGATCGACACAATGGTAATGTTCTCATTGATAACGAAGGGCATATTATTCACATCGACTTCGGCTTCATGCTTTCCAACTCTCCTGGGTCGGTTGGTTTTGAAGCTGCCCCTTTCAAATTAACACAGGATTATGTTGATGTCCTAGGAGGTGTTGGATCACCTGCATTTGACGATTACAAAAAGTTATGCAAACAAGCTTTCCAAGGTATGTTTTTCGATATATTCAGAAGCGATTCATGTCTAACAAAGTGTAGCATTACGTAGATCAGCGGACCATCTTATTGACCTTGTCAGTATGATGGGACGAGAATCAAAGATGCCTTGTTATTCGTATGGAGTTGCCCAAGCAACGAATAGTCTGAGGCAGAGGTTTCAGTTACAAATGAGTGCCGATGAGGCAGAGACGTTTGTGGAGACAGACCTTATTGGAAAGTCTTTGGGGAGTTATTATACCCGATTGTATGATTTCCCGTCCCTTTCTTGGTCGTGGATAAATGCTAATTGAAAATGGATAGATACGATACTTTCCAATATCGTACACAGGGTATTTATTAGTAGGTGGAGTAGTTATGCATGCTCGACAGTTTCTTGGGGAAACTGGTAGCGTTTGTAATTGAATGCATTGTGACTGCTGGCATGGCGTTGGATAATATCATTGAGCTGATTGATTTATGTGTGGCATTTACGGGAAGCGAATTTTAAGGGGAGCGAAAGTATCTTGCTGAACAGAGACGAGACGAGGAAGAGAGAGCAGAAATGATCTGATCTTTAGCATTAGAAGTGATTTGATTCAATCGTTTGAATGGAATGATAATTTCAGTTCAATGATATCGAATGGGGATTCATTGTACTCGCAATATTAGTCTAGGCCATAAGGACATACATTGTTTTGCCTGGTTGATTGAGATGGGGAGAAACGTTAATCAACTCTTCTTTCCTCTTGTTATCCTATTGCGGCACCAATAATAAGAGACTGTTCGAATTAAAAATTCTGGTTACTGAGACGAAGCTCAGAGAGGATCAGAGATTCGTCCATTTGATAAAGTTTTCCGCATGCATATTTGTATATGCAACGTTTAGGAGGTCTCGAACATGTATTCGCGAATCACCGACGTATCAAACCACCTACAAGCACCCAAAGTGTTCGACTGCATAATCAGCCTACCGGTTCTGAAGCGTCGATTTGATTGGTCTATTGTAAAATCTGTAGAAGTAATGGTTGATCTTTTAGGCTTTGCTTCATCATTTTTGTGGTTCTGGGATCGTTCATTCGATGGATGAAAAAAGGCATAACCTTGGTATTGATACAACAATACAACGAAAATGCGACATGATGGTGTTTTGCCCCCAGGGCACAGCAGTTCTCGACTCGTCTGTCCCAGGGATTGAAAAGTCCTTGACTCATAAGATCGGTGAACAGCTAACATTCTTGGTCTCGTGCGTACCTCGCGTTAATAAGTACCTAGTAGTGGCAAACACGATACATTTGAGAAATGGTTCGAGACCGGGTAAATGTAAACGTACTCATGTACTCGCGATGCATTAAGCTCTTTGCATCCATGGAAGAAGATGATCCGATGTTTTCTGAACTAAGATGGAGCGGAGCCAATTGGCCAAGCGGTTGGTAAATCTTACCTTGGGCAAACCCCGCATTGGGGCTTATTACTCCATGGGGTTGAGTAGATGAGCGGGCGTCTATGGTTCGGCAGGGTAAGTGAAGATTACCCCCTGTCCTGCGAAAATGTGGAGAGGATAATTAGGCTAAATACAAATATCACCAGCCTTTTCGCTTCGTGGTGAGCAGCACAAAATTTCCACCAATAGATGGGCGTCTGCATACGCATTGGATTATATCCTCGGATGTGCAGATGCGGATTCGACATGGTTTTCCTTCCTCTGGTTGGGAATTTGGGGTGATAGATGGGGATAGATACTCGTTGTGTGGTGAGGAAATAGGTGTAAATGCGAAGCAGACGAGTAGTTCCAATTATCCATGTTCCAGCACAGAGGTTCGTTTTATCCGGTGCAGTGCACATGCTCCCTAGACGTACCAATTGATAGAATGGCATGACAGGGTCGTCTTGTACTCTTCATATATAGATATAGTACCATGCCACTCCACGTTGTACTTGCCAAGAATTTTATTCTTGAGACTTTTTTTTCTCGTCGTTGTCTTTGAGCTTCACGATTGAGTAGTTCCCAAAGAACAAGGACGACAAGATGGGAAAGATTTTCAATCTCTCGTTGGCGGTATTTGCATCTACCGGGTATGTTTGAGCATTTTGTAGACATGTTGTCTCAAGCGATATGGATGGAGGTTTCTAACCACTTCTCAATAACAGATCGTTTCTTTTTGGTTACGATGCAGGTGTTATGACAGATGTGATAGCCTCTAAAAATTTCCTCACCTTCTTCAACACTACACAAGATTCTTCTATTATCGGTGCCATCAACTCAACCTTCAATGGTGGAGCTGTGTTTGGTGCCCTTCAGGGCGGTCTTACTATGGATCGATATGGACGAAAGATTACTATCTTCATGGGCGCATTGATCTGTCTCGTTGGAGCCATATTACAGACTGCTGCACAAAATCTTGCCATGATTCTCGTGGGTCGTATCTTCACAGGCTGGGCGGTCGGTTTGCTTAGTATGGCTGTACCGGTTTACAATGCTGAGTGTGCGGATCCGAAAATTAGAGGATTGATTGTGGGTTTGAGTCAACAGATGATTGGAGTGGGTTTTATTGTGTATGTTGCTTCTTTCTATGAAACTTTGGAAAGGTTACTGACGTGATACAAGATCAACTTGGGTAGGATATGGCTGTGGTGTTACAAAGGACAGTCCCGTTCAATGGAGAGTACCCCTCGCTGTACAAATGATTCCTTGCCTCATCCTCGCTTCTGGCATTCTCTTCTTTCCCGAGTCGCCTCGCCATCTCATGGAAACCGATCGTGAAGACCAGGCATTGGCTATTCTCAGAAAGTTGCATTTCAACGGTTCGAATGATGAATTCATCGTCAAAGAATTCAACGAGATTAAGGAGACAATCGCGGCAGAAAAGGCAATCACGGTACCAGGATGGAGAATCATGTTTACAGTACCACAATGGAGAACAAGATTGGGTCATGGAGTTGCTGTTCAAGCATTTACTCAGTTCACTGGAATCAGTAAGTTGAAGAGGATACAGGGAGGACTTGATTGCTGACATGAGATAGACGTTATTGGTTACTACCAAAATACTATGTACAAGGCGTTGGGAATTACTGGAAACAAAGCTTTACTCGTCTCTGGAATTTACAACTGCATGGGACCTCTGGGCAGTAAGTCTAATTTACTACCGTCCAAGATAAATACTACAGCAACTAATAACAAAATCCAGATCTCATCTTCATCACTTTCATGATCGACCGAGTCGGACGTCGCAAGCCACTCCTCTGGGGAACTGTCGGCATCACCATCGCCCTTGTCTGCCAATCCATCATCAACAGTCGAATTGATCCGGACAACGCACAGCGCGGCCTCTCCATCGGAGGAGTCTTCTTCATTTTCTGCGTCACAGTTATCTTCTCATTTTCGTGGGGACCCATCTCTTGGGTCTACATGTCCGAAGTCATGCCTATGCAAATCCGTGCTCGTGGCAATGCATTCGCAACTGGTATTGGTAATTGGCTTGTCGCTACATTCTGGGCACAAGTTTCGCCTACAGCTTTGAAGGCGCTGACGTGGAAATTTTATTTCTTGTTTGCTGGTGAGTTGATTTTTTGGGTTTCACTTGTCATTCGTTGAAGCGCGTACTAATAAGATCTATTACAGCATGGAACGTAGTAGTTACTATCCCCATTGTGTTTTTCTTTTTCAAAGAAACTAAACAACTCTCCCTCGAAGAAATCGATCTTCTCTTCGGCGAACGTGCACTCGGTACTCTTCCCGACGATATCTCAAAGGGGATTGAACATAATGGGGCTGTTGAGACGGAGCATCATGAAATGCATGACAAAGGTGCAGATCGGGTTTAGAGATTGAAGTGGAGTGGGAGATTAATATACCTTGGGGAAATAAGCGGGAGATGAAATGGGCAGCGGACGCTATCGTTCTTGGATTTCAAGTATCGGAATTCGGCGCCTGGGATGGTTTTGGTTGAAAGCAGATACCTTGATCATATTCAAATGGAAATTGAAGTGATATATACATGTACTTGATTGTTCCCGAGAAGAAATGTTTCCTACTTATAGTGAAGTGCCTTATAAGCCCCTGAGATGTAAATCTCATATTGATTGCGTGAGTAGCGATTGACCATTGAAACTTCCAGAGGCCTACGAGTACATTTCAGCTAGTAGTAAATTTGTCAAAAGAGACTAGGATGTTACCTCGGTATCAATAATAGGAATGAGCTATATGGACTCGAGAATAATAGCGACCGAACTAACGAATAGATTCAGGAGAGAAGCATATAGCTTTTTCGTGCCTCCCAGCTCTCAGTGTGATTTTCGCTGTAAAACTCTCAATTTACTTTACAGGAAATTGTTTCTTTCATCTAAATTTTGTATCACTAGACAGTTCTTGTGCTTAATGCACACCAGAATAAAATATACAAAGAAGCATTATTTGTTATCCAAGAACAGCCACCCTGCAGAGAAGACAAAGAACACATCTCCCACAAAGCAACATTCATTGACTATCTCCAGTAATACAGAAAACCTATCGATTTGCTATCAAATATTTCGTGTTCGAAAGTTAGTGCATTTGTTACGAATAGCTAGTTGTAAACCGATAGCCTAGTCAATCCTCCAGGACGTAACATTAAATTTAAAGCTAGAAATCTCACACAGCTTTGGGTTAAGATGACTTTACTACTACCCGGCGAAACATGGGACGAGGCAGAGATACGCCTTGGATTCCGACTAGAGCGGGCGCCTCCCAAAATGCACGAGGCATCTTCACAAGAAATGAGTGCTCGTGGGAAGGCATGGTTAGCAACCGAACCACTTTGGTCTGCGGAAAGTCGGATGGGTCCTGAGCCCTCATGGACCGGGGTGAAAATCATGGGCGAAGGCGGGAATGGCACAGCGGGAAAATGGAGATTGACATATCGCCAACCGCCGGAGGGCACTCCAGGAAGAATGCCATTCGAAAGTATAGTTGTGAAACAGCAAGCGGGAGGCTGGGGAGACTTGAGAGATGAATCGGAAATATACGAGCTGCTGCGTCACACAAACTCTCAACATCTGGTGAAGATGTTTCGGAAAATATATGAAGATCGAGGTCTTAACACGGTATATGCGGATAGAGACGGTCCTGTACACAGGATATATCTAGAAGATTGTGAGGCGGGAGACCTCTCCAGTAGGGTTTTTGAGCGCTTCGTGGATAGGTAAGTGTTTGTATCGGTCGATATGATACAAACTGACTTTGTAGATTTGTATTTGATGAAAATGAGATATGGGATACCTTCCATTGTATAGCCCGCGGCTTATACGCTATGCATTGTGGACACGAAGATCTCAAGGAAGACCGATGGGATCGGGATGAGATAGTTCATTTTGATTTCAAAGCTCAAAATGGTGAGTTGAAGCTTCGCAAAGATATTCAAGTTCATACCTATTTACCATTCCCCAGTTTTCATGGGCGCTGGGGTCAGAGATGATGAACATAGAGGAGCTCTTGTAATGAAGGTACGATTCTCAATTTACAGTTGTAAGACTCTCTAGCATTGGTCGTAATCCTAATATGTAGAATAACTAGATTGGTGATTATGGGCATACCGCGGAGGTGCCCCTTGAGCAAGACCTACTTTACAATTTCAAAAAAAGACGCCTTGGAACAGAAAGGTATAAATTACCTGTAAGTCAGCTCTTGGACTTTTGAACACACGGCGTGTTGACTTTTTTTGCGAGGAACAACTTAGAACTCGAGAACGACCGTTGGAAAGACCGTGGATGGATCCAATGGTATGTGTAAAACCAATCATGCTTCCTCACTCCCAACTTCACCTTTCCTGCGCACTAATCCTCAAAAACAGCCTAAATCCATGCGCGACGCAGGCGATGGAAACATCCTCAATAATCTTCGCTATGGAACTCACTCGAACATATGGCAACTCGGACTGATCATATGGCAGATGATGCATACAACTGAATGGTGCCAGGATGGAAACCCATCACTTACATATCGGGCTGAACCCAATATGCAATGGGATGGCGAAAGAGGGCACCGACAGCCTGGCCCCCCGGGAAGATTCACACTTAAACTTTATAAAGTAGCAAATACCTGGCTAGGATTGAATGAAGAAGTAGGTGGAGTGCATACACTTGCTACACAAGACGATATAGATTTCTACAATGGAATGTACGACGCACTCCCATTTGAACCCGAAATAGACCCAGACCAGCCTGAAGAGCAAAAAGCTATGGCTAAGACAAAGAGAAGGATCGAAAATAGAGCCAGGGCAGCAATTCGCAAGGAACGGTTATACAGTGAAACTCTACACAAATTGGTAATGGATTGTCTGATCGTACAAGGCGAAGCTCGAATTCACATCGAAGATTTATACCGAAAAACGCAACAGATGAAGAACATGTATCAAGGATTAGTAGCACCAATGCTTCCAGCTCCCTATTCTCCTGAACCCGACCTCGGAGAGCTTCCCGCCCCATGGAACGACATCACAACTAAGCCAGGAGGAGGCCTCGGCAAGCCTGTGGCTGAAGAAGAAGAAACCTACCCACTCGATCTTTTTGAACTGTTTTATGCGAACGCGGAGCATGAAAAGGTAGAAGATGCCATAAACTGGGCTCGAGAGAATCCTATTATCCACATGTCCGATTATGAGGCTCATCATGCACACGAGCTCATCTTGAGAAACAGACAATCGTTAACCAACTACGTGGCGGAATCAAGGCGTGCCCGGGGCCAACGAATTAAACCACAATACAAAGTGCCTGCTCCTTTTCCAGAAAACTGGAAACATGGAACACCAGAGGATAATCCAAGAGGTGGTCCTCAGGGCAGTCTTTCTCCGCCTAGGGGTTTTGAGCAACAACGTGGTACGCTAAGAATCACGAATCCTGGCGGAGGACCCCCACTTTCTGCAGTAGATGAAGGTGATGAACGGCCAACTCACAATCAAGGCAATCCAGCAGGACCTAGAAGATTCTCTTATGAAGGTGACAGCACGCCAAGTTTATTGAGATTATATGGGTCTACGCCTGAACACATGAAACCAGTGGACCTCGGGAAGACTCCCGAACACATGAGAGGGCCAGCAAGACCAGCCGGTAATGTGGGAGCAGATATCGGAGATCTTGGAGGTTTCGAGAGCGTAAGAATAACGAGCGCATCAGGCGGAGGACAAGAGGGGCACAGGTTTGGAACTCAGTCTTCTATGGAGTCTGTAGATCTCGGAGGAGGAATCGTAATAGGTGGAGCAGGAAGAAGGGCGTCCCGGAAAAAATCTTCCGAAAAAGTCGTTTGGCCCGAGTTTCCCCTTGGCTTACAGGAAGATGTCGACGAACCCTTTCTACTCCGTGTCCTTGCAATCCCTGCACTCAAGGATTCGATTTTAGTTTGCACCGTTATTGAGTTCAGGGGCAACGAGGAAGTTCTAAGAGGCATTATATACTTGCCCGGATTACTGGACAGTACGACGATATATGACATGAAAGAAATGCTGACCGAGAGAGAGACAGGAATTCCGGTAATACACATGAAGTTGATGGGAAATGATCATTTATCGGTTTTTAGAGAATTCGAGGACGATGAGGAGAGAACAGCGATTAGTGGGATTGAGATTTTTGTTTACGATATTAGAGAGGGCTAATGAGAAAGAGGAAGATATTTAGGATTGGGTAGGACGTGAGAGCATAGAACTGTGTTGCCTCTTGATTAAGCTTTGACTGGAGAAAGGGAAAATTCAATTGACACTTTGGGGTAATTGACAAAACGCTGTCAAGATCATGACATCAAATAGTAGTAAATGGCAGACGTATTCCATCTCAATAGCATATCTCTGATTAAGATAACTTATGCAATTCGCTCCTCTTTGAGGCCTCGATGTTCCCACGTGTGGGATGAATGCCTGCTCCCAATCACAATAACTTGTGAAAGAATCCACATTTTCCGCAAAATTAGTAAGCTTGAGATACCCAGATACTTATCTGCGGGCAATTTCTTTGGACCGAACTGTGCGTATCACTTTACTGTCAGCGAGATGGTGTGAGAAATGGTATGTCATTTAGATGTCTCATTTATCCAGTATAATTACAGCCATGATAACGCCATGAAATGTATCCGCCATCTCGAATATTTTTCTATAAAATAGCCAAACATAAGGGCACATTATGATTCTTCCATCCATCCAGACCCAATGCAAAAGTCCCTTCCGTCCCAGTTTCCTTAGATCGTAACACCATTGATTCCATTTGACAAATCCCCATTGACGCTGTTGTCCAACTCAGCTTTCAAACAGTCCTCCGTGATCTTTTCCAAACATCCCGCCGCTGCTGCTACAAATCCCAAATATGATTTACTTGGAGCCAAAACTCGGGAGAGGTATTCCGGATGAAATTGTACACCTACGTACCACGGATGGTCCTTGATCTCAACAATTTCCATTCTCTCACCCTTGTCATCCTTGCCGACGAATTCAAGACCACCATCATGTAATCGGTCAACATACTCTGGGTTGACTTCATATCGATGACGATGACGTTCGTGGACTTCGGTTTTGTCGCCATAAAGCTTACGGAGACGAGACCATTCAGATCCCGGCTGAAATTCTGTAGGGCGTAATCCGAGACGCATGGTTCCACCAAGGTTTACCTTGTCAATCTCTGGCATGTAGATAATAACTTTGTCGGTTGCGTTTGCGTTAAGTTCCACTGAATTAGCAGAAGTGATGCCACAGACATTGCGAGCAAATTCAATAACGGCAATTTGCATACCCAAACAGATTCCCAAATAAGGCGTCTTGTTGGTACGTGCCCACTTTGCAGCTGCAATCATGCCCTCCGTTCCACGATCACCGAATCCTCCAGGAACGAGAATGCCATCTGCAGTGCAGACCTCATGCCACGCCTTGTGAAACTCGGTTGGTTTGGCATCATCCTCGAGGTGCTCAGCTTCAACCCAGATCAATTTGAGCTTCTTTCCACATCGCATCGCTGAGTGTTCGAGTGATTTGATAACACTAAGGTATGAGTCGTGAAGTTTAGTATATTTACCAACAAGAACAATGGAAACATCATCAAATGAACGTTCTTGTTGGCTTGTGAGTGACTTCCACTCGGCCCATGTTCGCTGTCCCTTTTCAACAGCAGCTTTCGCCATGGAGATTTCGTTGAGATTGAGAATTTTGTTCAATGTTGAGATAAGGCCTTGCTGTTCGAGAAGTAAAGGAACGTGGTAAGTAGATTTGACGTTGTGTACACCCACGACTTGTTCGCCTTCAACTTGACAGAACATCGCAATCTTCTCGATGGTACTTTTCTCGAGGGGGACATCGCATCGGCAAGCAATCTAGAACAGTTAGCCCCCAAAATTTCAGGAATTTCAATCGAGGAGTTTACCAAATCTGGGACCAATCCAGCTCTACCAACATCTCTGATGGCTTGTTGAGTTGGCTTTGTCTTCTGCTCGCCTTGAATGACAGGCACCAAAGAGACATGAATTTGCAAGAAATTGCCTTTCCCAGCTCTTCTCTTCAATTGTCTCATAGCCTCAATGAATGGAGCACTCTCAATATCTCCAACGGTACCACCCAACTCAATGATGCAAACATCCGGAGTCTCCTTTGTGTCGTCGACAGGAATTCGCGCGACTCTCTCGATCCAGTCTTGAATTGCATCGGTCAAATGTGGCACGACTTGGACAGTCTTTCCGAGATAATCGCCTCTACGTTCACGCTCGATGACATGCTGATAGACTTTGCCCGTGGTGATGTTGTTTTCGCGAGTGAGAGTGATATTAAGATAGCGCTCGTAGTTTCCAAGATCGAGATCGACTTCTCCTCCGTCATCGAGAACAAAGACCTCTCCATGCCTACACACTCGCCCATTAGCTCAATTCCAGATTTCGTGAATAGGCATGTTAGACGCACTCGAGAGGATTCATGGTTCCGGCATCGACATTCATGTAAGGATCGATTTTAATGGATGTGACGTTCTTTCGAAGTTAGCCTAAACATTCTGCCTGATTTTTTGGTTTATCGGGAACATATCTTCAATCCAATTGTCTTGAGTAACAAGCCGGTGGAAGAGGCTGTTGCGCAACCGCTTCATCAGTATACTACTCATCTTGTATCTTTCACATCTCTTTGTCGTCATTCCTCAAAATTTGGCTACATACCGATAACGCCCTTTCCAATGCCGGAAATGACACCTAAAACCCATGTTAACCCTCAATTTTTCTTGATTCTGAAGCAAAAATTATGATTCAATCAAATACATACCTCCAGATACAAGAACGTACTTCATCTTGACAAACTTGACGAAATTTATGGTACCCTTCCTGGCTTATGCCAGAGGGAAGGAGGAAAGAAAAAGGAAAATCTCAATCAAAAGTTTAAAGTTTTTGGTGGTGGGGTCCCAGAGCCTATCGCACGCTAAGCCTATCCTGGATTAGATCAGCTTGACGGACTCGAAAGTTATTGGCGGGGTCAATGTTTGTGGCTGAGCAATCTCAGCCTGTTCAGCCACAGCCACTTCAGCCTTGTGTGGCACTCAACTTGGTTGGGTTTCCAGGTTGACATTGTTGGTGTATTTTCTTCCATTGGTTAAAGAATTAGAAATTATCTGCACTCATTCACATCTCAGGATACTAGGTAGGTAGGTAGTCAAATAACAAATCAGGTAAAACAATAGTCATACGAAGTTTGGAGGAGGTTTGGAGGTCATAATCATATAATATTGTGGATCATGCGTTCAGAATTGTCTAGATCACATATCAAAGTAGTTTTATAGACAAAGGTGTAGAAATCTGATCTATTCATAAGGAACCCCTATTCTCAAGATTGTTATTGATGCGGAGAGTAGCATGAAATATATAGGGCTATTTCTGGTGAACTCAATCTTTTTTTATCATTACTATTGTAATATGAGAAGAAGGATTCGAAGCTGCCTAGATCTATCCAGATATATAGGTAGCTAGATAAATAGCTAGAGCTAATTGAAGAATAGGAGAAGAAAAAGTAAAGAATCGGAACAAATTTTGATATACCATCTTCGATTGATCTCTGATATTCGATGTTTAACATTTATTTGAATTCAGTGATATATCTTCCACTGCCACCACAATAACAATTTGTAAAATGCAGAACTTGGGGTGAAGTTTGATCATGATATCAAAAGTTTTCACCAAACAGCCAGTACAATTATCAGTACAGCCCAATACCAACGTTGTCGCTCTTGCTCTTGCTCCTCATAAATTCATAAATTCATCCTGTTGTCCAGATCTCTTCACCAAAAGAGTAACCATTTTAAGACGCTAACTCCCGCCTTCAACCGACCAACAATGAATCCAATGCAAAAATCAAAGCTCGTAAGTCGCCCTCACTATCAAAGCAGCCATTCACTAGACTTCTGCTGACTCCTTATCATTATGCTCAGCTAGAACTGGCTTCACGTGCGTCCCTCACTTACATTCCTCCCATCTCATCATCGTCATCTTCGTCGTCCCCTTGGCCAACCATTGCAATTGTTTTCGCGTTTCCCTTCTTGATCTTCAGAATATTTGGATAGCCCTGGCTGACAAGAGATTTCGCCAGATCAGAGCTCGGTCTCATACCCTCAAAGTCTTTGGCATTGTGTACCTTGAAGATATTACTTAACAATGGACTCATGATCCCGTTCCTTTGACCTTTTCCCATTGCAGCTGGGTCAATCAACGTTAATCTGAACTTCAGTTGATAGTCACCCGGAAATCGAACAGACAAATCGGCAAAAGTGAAGAAGAATCGTTCATCGCCATGAGGGTCGAGTGCTTTAAACCCGTTACACACCATCGTGCCTACCATCCTCCTCTGGTTTCTACGGTCACTGCTCCCCTCGATCTTGTCATCTTCGCAATTCGTGTAGGGATTCCATAGTGTGCAATGCACTATTGGCATGAATTGATTCAAGACTTTCTTTCTCTCTTTCGGATCAACGGCCTGACCTGTATCCTTATCGAATACTTCGAGTGTCAGGATTGGCGGCGGATCTATCATTCGACGGTCCTTGTCTCCATATCCACAAGCTCGTGCTGATATTGGCTGTTGCATGACGACCAGTCTACATTCTGGCTGAGGAAGGAGTGGTGGCGGAGCCCTTGGAGTACAATGAGCCTTGATCCATTGACAATGGATACCAAAATAACATACCTTGGAGGGGCAAACGGACCATGGTAATGAGCTGCAACAGATCCTTCCCTAGTCGCGAATGCATCTGACATGGGTGTCGGTGGACATGTCGAGTATGGAGATAGCGGGCTTTGCGAATGCTTGAAAGTACGTTCTAGCTCTCGAGGACTGCATTGTTGCTGATGCAGGTACATTGGTCTGTTCAATGCCACTGGAGACCGTGGTCCTTGTGATGGCGGGCGATATGAACCGTCGAATGTCTGACCCTCCTCAACTTGTTCCGGTGGTAAAGAAGATAGCAATGAAGATATGGGAGGAAGCCTGGGAGGATTGAAGTTTGGCATTTGCGCCCTGTCGTCGCCATTGTCGTGGTAGGGTAGCGGCTCTCGTCCATAGCTGATGCTCCTACCATCAGATGGCTGATGAATTGGTAGTGCGTCGTGATTTGAATGGTACATGTTGTAGGAGATTGTCAAATATATCGTGATATTATAGACGTTCGATTGAGTGTTATCAGGTAGAGGTATCTGCATAGGCTACTAGTAAGTATTTAATACATTAGAGCTTAACAATTGATGATAGATATATGGAAGGATTGCTACCTTTAAGTGTCATTAAAGTCTCGAGATTCGAAATGAGATGATGATAGTAATTGCTCAACCAGAGATGTGATGCTATATAGAAGTGGCCGAGGAGGGCGAAGTACAAGATATTTGTTTGATTGTCCGAAATCTGATTGCGAGTGCATGAATGAGGGTTGGAACCAAATTTGTTATATGTGTAACTTCAAAGTACAATAATGATAGAGAGGAAAAAAGAGCAGCTCTCCATTGATAGTCGCGGGGAAAGCTGGGGGAGATATAGAAACTCCAATGGAGGACAACCCTAGAGTGACAGGAAGCATGGTAATGGCTGGAGGCTTCAAGGAAGCTGTGAAAGTCCCAGGAACCGGGTGAGTGATATTGAGAGTGCGACCTGTGGTATGGAGAGCTTTCTGGTTGGTTAAGACTCCTACTTTGCGGGATAACGTGCGGTATGTTTGGTGGGTGTGTCTTGAATTGCGATGAATGACTGGCGGACGACTTCTATTGCAGCATAATTCAGCAAGCCCGGCTTTCCGTGTTTTTGGGCATGCGGATAAAGTGTCAGGCAAGGGGTTGATTCTTTTTTTGGGTTAAACCTAGCCAGCTAGGTAAATGAACTTGGGCTTTCGCGTTCTTTTCTGGTCTTGTCTTTGACAGGGCTTGAGGGGTACAGCTTTGATGTTTGACGGTTCGAAACATCTCCGGGATTGTAACATTTTAGTTGCATTGGGAAGTGGATGTTGAAGGTGCCGCTAAAGTTCTAGTTCCCGTTCTTCGATCCGTGCACTATGCACTATGCACTATTAGCATTAGAATTGATAATGACATATCTGCACTACTCTACGAGTATAATACTTTAAAAATCCTTTGAAAATGGCAACTCGATTATATCAGAGGAAGGTGCTTCGAGAGAAAGAGATATCGACTGTTTATCCCTATTCCAATCGTCATCATACTTACGACCCTTACTCCACTCCACGTAAAGGCTCGCCGACTTTCATTGGAGTTTTACATGGATTCTCACGGGATGTTTTTACATACTATACTCAATAACAGAAGTTTTGGGGGCTAGTTCATTACAACGAAAAGTTGACCGACTAGCCCAATCAATTCCTTCCGACATATAGCAAAGCTGCAAAGTATATAGAGTACCCTGAGTACCTACATACCAACACAATGCCGGTGATGCACTCACAGACATTGGTGGGTGGCAGTGGTGGGCGGTGGTGTTAAAAAGCTAGGAATTACGATATGATCCATGGCTTAAACCCCCGAGCTGTTCATCCACAATGCATCTAATCATTAACCAATACCCACCTATTCGCTACCATCCGCGACCATTGTTTCTGGTGCTACTCATTTTACTCCTCCCCCTCTTCTCTCATCTCTTTTTGCCACCACACCGCCAGTACATCATCACTCTATCTGTTGCGCAAGGTCGTGCAAGAAAGCCATCTATTCAGAGGAACATTCTTCTAGTTGTCCACTCCCTTGATTCACGTCCATTGAGAGGATGGCAAGCGTAAATGCTGGTGACCTTACTCAAGGCTTGATGGAAAAAGCATCATCTTCACTGTGCATGTACTCTTCCCGCTTCGGAGCTTCAGTGTCACGTTCCACGGAAGAGGGTGACATATACATATTCACTATCAATTGGCCGACTAACATACAGACTCCGAGAGACATGAGAGGTCTTTCAGGGCATATCCTGTCATTGTTGCTTCTTAGTTATCTCATCTCTTCCCAAAGTTATCGTGGATTTCGATCATTCGTTATAGAGACTTGAGCCAAGGTCATAAACTTATCAAAATGATTCAATACAATGTAGATCTGCTGCGCTCGCCGTTCACGCTGCCTCACAGACTCAGTTATTGTAACTTTTGTTGCCTATTACTATGGAGGTATGCATCTATTATGGTGTAATATCTTGATTCCTTTTCTCTCAGCTCATGTTCTACAGAGTCAGTTTAGATTGCTTTAAAAGGAAACTTATGCCGAGGTATTCTATCTTTTAGCAACCCCAGCAACGGATCTTTCCCAAAACCATCGAGCGATCAACGAATTTTGATTTGGTACATAAGGTTATCGAAGCAGGGAATAATCAGGCCATTACTGAACTTAATCAGTAGCATTATTCCTTTTTGAATAAGAAAAAATGGGTGCATAGAAGGTCATTGCCAACAACCAAGGTCTGCAGCGTCCAGATACTAATCACAACATATATCTACCAAGAAGAATGCTGTCTGGTCACTTTCACATGCAGTGTTCAGCATCCCTGAGGCCTAAATGATACACGAAATTGATGAAAATAGAATCTTCATCGGAAGCAGAGCCTGGTCAATTCTGCGCCACGTCCCGCACTCACTCAACAAAATTCTTCAGGCACCATCTGGAACATAATTACCTACACTCATGAACTCCAATTTTTCGAAACTTGCAATGTCAGTATCCTGATAGAATTCTGGTTAGCTAAGGTACTTGCAGCATTATGGTGATTCGGAGGATTAGCTTTAGTATATGTTACCTTACTCGCGATGAACCGAGATAGTTATTTTTCGGTAAGAGAATCCTGTTACATTGCAAAGATGCTGCCACTACTAAGCTAAACAGAGCTCGCAAAACCATTACATCTCCAGAAACATGGTTATTGGCCATGTATCCGACCTGGAGGCCCATATTCTTCCTTTCTTGCTGATCACCAAGATATTTTGTGGATAAGGAAAAATGGTGTTCTCCAGTTTGTTCCTACTCTTTTAGCCTGGTGTCGCAACTGAAACGAACAGGGCCTCCGTGTTTTGAAGGGAATACAGAATTTTTTCAACGGATCAGGACATAACAATGACAGCCGTTGAAATACCCTCCGCCCCCATTCTAAAAGAAACCCTCCGGTTATCTAGGATGAAAAACTTGATTTCCTTTCCACAGATCTCGGTATTACAATTTACCAAAATGCCGTAGCCCCGACGGCTCAAACTGGGTTCGTCCGGTAAAAAACTGGGTAACCGTGATTATCGAAATTCATTGGTCCCTCTCGCCGGGTTGCTGGATTGAATGGCCTTCCTACAGTAATCTCCAAAAAGCTTGATCTGTACGCCGCCGAAGATGAGAACGAATGGCTGGCTGGTTCGTGTGTAACATCGGGACTACCCCGCTCTATTCAATCTTCGTTCCTAAAATCGATCCCCCTATGGACTCTATTGGCCATTTTCAAAGCATTTGGAATTTAGCCTGAAAACTACCAGGAGGGAAGGTTGTTGTATACATTTACGGGACAGATTCGTTACGGTTCGGTTTTCCGGTTTTTGCATATGGTTTCGAGGATTCACAGAAAACACAAGGGTACTTGAGAAACTTCAAATGGGCACGAGCACAAATACAAGGCGATACATCTGTATGCTTGTCACTGCTGGTAATCTTCCAAAGCTTCAAAGATATAGTACCCTATCAATACCTTCCAGGCTGTCATTTGTATCCTAGCCTTTGTCAATTGGCCAAGATGGTTAATAGTCATACCCAGGAAGCTCCTGGGCTTTGGACTTCAAATGCGATAAATGGATATGCCGTGAGGATGGACACAGTGCACACCTATCTTGAGTTACTTTGGCATTGAAGAGCATATCATCTGATCATCGCATCTCTTAATTTCGGAAATACTGGGAGATGAACTCGTTTTCGGGTTACCCTCTTTCACCATCAATGCTTCTATACATGACGTCAGCTGTCAAAAATGAAGGATGTACGTTTGAACTATCAATTTAGACCTTAGCATTGGATACTCATAGTTCCACTTATGCTCTCACGGCTGACCTAGCGGTCCATCTGATCTATAAGCACAGCGTGGGATGAAAGATGGTAAAGTTGACAACGATGAATCTGTAACGCACGACATAGAATATGAATCTCGTGTGACTCTTTAGAAAAAACAAGTTTGGGAATCCCTGCCATGAAGGCTCAATGCAGAATGCGGTGTACCTTCAACCCTCAGACGGAGGAGTCCTGTGGAAACGGTAAACACGTTGACGGATGATACTTTGCAATCGACTCGGAGATTTTTCATTGAGTCTTCTGTCGCCAGCGGAGGAGGTTCTGGACAATTGCACTCCATGAACTTCGCCTCATTTTCGTGCATGATTAATCAATTTAATTTATCTGCTATACGAATTCTCCACTCACCGAATACCCACCTCGTACAAAACACATATCACTGCACAAAGAAGAGCACCAATCCTCTGCAATTTGTTTCCAGTCCCTCGCAGCAGAAACAACTCTTCTCACCACGCCATTCCTCATCTAGCACATACCTGTCAAAAGAACTGTCACTTCCTCATACTCTTTTGTCGAAACTTCCGGAGACGAAAATCACTGCTTGCACTAGACAGAAAACACATTACACATGTCAGGTCTAAAAGCGCCAATTTCATAAGAATGGTGTATTGTGCGCGTGCGGGACGATATAACCTCCGGACGGAGTGAGAGAGTCTTATGGAGCTACGGAGCACAACTAGGAGAGTAATATCCGAGGTTTATAAATGGATATCAAAACATAAAAGCGGATGGGAATTGATACCGCGTAACATAAACCGGGGATTTGCACAATATAAATCTGACGAGCACACAAGAAAAACAAAAACAAAAGTGATGTCAATTAACCATTAAACAGCTACCAGGTTTCAATTTCATAATCCCTATCTATTTGATCCTAGTGCAGGATACTTACCAAACTTCAATAGACCAAAGAATCTCTTTCCGGAACCCCGCATGCCATCCCGTGCCATGACTAACTTACCCATGCAAATCAAGTTTCACAATAGATTCTTGTACTTGTGTTGCCATACGCTTTCCATGGTCCAGGAGCGTGGAATGGCCGAAGTCGGTTGGACGTTTTGGGATCGTCATGCATTGGTTTTAATCTGTAAGACTTACTTGCGATGGTTTCTTGTAATTGAGGGGTCTTGGTCTCTGGGCTGGGGTGTCACATTGGCTGAGTATGGTCGATGTATGTGGACTTGTATTTACAATGTACTGTTCGCCTATATGAGATAGCCTTTTACTGTTCGATTGGATGATTCATGAGTTATTTGCCAAGGCTCATGGGAGTCGAGTGCTAGAATTTGAGATTTATGAATGAGTACTATTTCCTATTGTCGCTTACGTGTTGATGATCTTTGGACGTCGAGGAGTCGATTTCATGCTTTTCCTTGGGGCCTTCAAGTACTAGTATGTATTATTTCATACTCAGAACTCGTGATAGTCAGATCGATTTATTGATTGTGATGGGAATATGTACTTTATCAGAAACTTACGTATATTTCAGTACCAAAATGGCTCACACTTGATATATGAACTCCCTGGCTATTCAAAGCACTTGTTATATTACATAAAACTCAGAATTTGTAGGCTATTAAATATGTATTATGCTCCGGACTAACGGAAAAGTTGATCTCGATTATCATAACAAGCATACATCCTCGACCGTTCTGATTCCGCTACTGACTTCTTCCTGAATTTCGCCACTCATATATCCATGGAGGTAACACTCCCCGATCACTTGATAGCCTTCATTATCCTCCCACTTTCTCAAAATCAGCGGGATACTACATCCGAGAAGAATCCAAACTTGATCGCTTTTCCGTGCTCGACACGAAACCATACCTATGAGTCCTTGGTTGGTGGTCATAAGTCTTCGCGCCATCCATTTGGTGGTATCTCTGAATCGAGAAATGAATCCTTGTTCGTTGGTTGAGATATCCATGAAATCATAATCAGTGGAGAACTCAGACTTCGGAAGTGGTGCCGCTTTGCATATCTGCTCGAGTGAGTGGGAACCGATTCGGAGTGTCCGATTGCGTTCAAACCAATCGAGAAACAGAGGGTATACATCACCTGGTCTTGTCATTGCCGCGAAACAAAATGCTTGGAATTCTAGGTACGAGAATTCTTTGGCTGATATATCCTGACTGAGATATCGGTCTTGCCGGTTCAGCATCAAGCAGCGGAAAATGTGATCCATGTATCTGGATGCCTGTTCAGGGTCCAATTCAGCTTGAGTTAGTAATTCAGCGTTGCTTTGAGCAGCTTGAGATGTTTCATGTGTGCTTGTTGACTCAACGCTCTGGTACACCTCAGCGACTTCGTCGTTCGTCTTATCTTCGTCTGTGTAGACTACCTTGAGGCCGCCAATACCGTCGACAAAATCTACGAAGACTCCTTGACAGGTCAGTATCCGGAGATCGGTGGAGAAATTGTATTTCAGAGGGTCATTGCTCTTTCCAGCCATAAATATATCGTAGTTGGTGCCCTTAGGATACCAGAACATTATAGGACGAAGGTTTCCAACGTGCTTTGCACCACTTTGAGCAGCTATTGCAGGAACCATCCATGGCTGCACATCAGCTCTCCAATCTGGCACCCAAGAGGGGAGTATTGGCTGGCCATGCGAATATTCTAAACAACGGAATCGATCCACGAAGCAGATAATATCCAAACTCTTGTGTTTCTCAAGAAAACTTTTGACCAGATTAGAATAAACCACTTCAAAGCTATCTTGATATCTCGGCGGATCAGCCAAGAATCCATCCGCAGCCAAGCCGAGAACAGAGTAAATTCTATCCCTAGGATCAGAAGCTTTGTAATTTGAGATGTATCCCATCAATCCTATCAATTGTACCGGAGCGCGTCTTTGATACCAATGGAATACACGACGACGTATCCATGGAGCTTCGAATGATTTGTGAGCCAGCAACGTCTCATCAATTCTCCTGCATGAGCCTATCGTACTCATTGCTGTAGTCAATTTCCGTCTATCTATGGCCTCTTGTCCGCACTGAAACACGAATGTTCGTGGAACAAGATACTCTTGAAGTGTCCAAACTCTCGTCCACCAAGGTCTTAATAATAACTTTTCCAATGCAGCCCACTTGCTCCTGTCACTCAACTCACTCCCTAGCTCTTCCTCTTTCGCTCTTCTCTTTCCACCTAATCTTCTTTGGTGAACCAAATCTAGTCTTTTCTTGTGGCTTGCTAACATCTTCAAAAATTGGATTGCTTGCTCGCCCTCGTCGTCTCCCAGACCGAGCCAACCAATAGTCCTTTCTGATTTCTCGTAAATTCTTCTCATCATAGCGACCTGGATATTGCGTTCCACTTCTGCAATTGGTCCCACATTTTGATCAATGCAAATTGAATCAATCCACCACCAACTCTGCTTCCATTTTTCGTCATCGCAGATGATTTCTAAGAGTGGGTGAAGACTGCTCAGGACAGGAAATGGATGCCCGTTGATAAGGATGCTATGTGGAAAGACTTTAGGGCCCCAAACGTAAGACAAGGTTCTAAAGACAGGACGTTCCGGATCGTCAAGGGAAAAAACTTCTAACAAGCCGCTGATTGAACCTTGTTCGTTGCGCTGGAGACGGAGAAGACGAATTGAAGGTTTGGAGGTGTCGAGGGATGTGTAAGAATACTTTGGGAGGACTTCCATCACCGTTGTTCATGAAACATGCAAGATTCAAAACTTTTGATGCGCAATAATATGAAGATAACAGGAGTTATCGTCCGAAAAGCTGAGCAATTGAACCACGCCATGGCTTGAATATTGTCAGGTCAGCTGTCCATTATGATGTGCTTACACCGCCTTTATTTTGCCATCATAAAATGAGATTGAGGGTTTAAGATGATGAGGTTAGAAGAATCTTGATAGCTCATCAATCTGATTCCATGTCATCATGAATTCGATCAGATATACAATTCAAAGGACAAGAAGAATTGTTGCAAAAAGCTAAGACCAAGCGCCGCTACGACATACTCGCCACATCCGCTTTATCACGAGACCGCACACCAGTAGTTCCATATCCCAACCCACGATTAGATCCATCATCCCACCAAATACTTTCACGATCTCTTAAAATTCGTGGATCTTTTCTTTAATGAGTCCAGCTCCCAAATGCAATCACTACCGTCATCAAAAGAATCGTATTGATTGTATCTCTTCGTACAATCGTACCCATCGACTCAATTTTGTCCATCCCAGTGCAGAAGAGGTCAACCTGAATGCTTGAATTGCCACTGATAAATACATCATTAAGGCATCTCATGATCGTATCGTCGCCATTTGGTGGAGGAAAATGACAATACTCGATTACGCAGTTATATTGGTCATTGAGCGGATAATCAATGAGGTTGGAAGTACCGCAACATGCTTTTATCGCGGAAATTGACACATTGCCAAACTCGGTACTATTTGGATTGGTCCAAACAGAAGGCCAGTAACAAGCAGATTGGTTGCCTAGAGCGCTGGGTATACCATGGTTGTCGTTGATACAATGGCTGTCGTTCGACATTGTGAAAGCTGGTGAAAACTGACGATTATCAGGACTCCAAGGTGAAGTTGAAAGCATCAAGTAATCAACAACGAAACTAGAGGTAGAGCTTTGAAGGAGGGTAGTTGTGGTTCAGGTCGAATGTTGATTAGCAAGTGCTCTAGGTCAGGACGATATCGTATTGTGATTCTGTGGATGTCAACAGAAAAAGAATTAAGGTCATGATACGCATGGCCGAGGAGAGTCAGACTTAATTTAACACAAGGTCCTTCATTTTGTGCCACCGACATAAGGAAACATACGATGTTGTCAATGCTACGATTTCGAAGTTATTACTAGGAGTATGGGGCATATGCGCATTACCACCATCTTATTCGGCAAATCAGCATCCACAGTTCCAAGATCTATAGAAAAAAACCATTGGTAGGAATGTCTACCGAGTCATTTCCCCATACTTTTCACGATCAGTGTTAGAAAACATATACACTAATGGTCACCAACTGCATCAAATGTTTGTCTGGCTTCCAATCTTGGTACCTTGTGACAGCATTTTATAGCCAACAGTCATCGATGATGAACGACCCAGATAGCAAACACCAATTTCATAGCCTTACTGGCATTATATCTCCTTCCCTGATATTCTTGACATGTGTAAAATTAGAACTTGGTGTCGCAACTTATAGGCTCAAAGAAAAGTTCGACTTCATAGAAAGGAGTTTTGAATTGAACAATATCTTGGCAAGTCAAGGTTCGAGATTATGTGGTAGGATTAGAGTAGCAATATTCTTCCTGGAACTGCTATTCACCCCTTCTCAACCCAATTTTGGCGCCTGTAAAGGCTGACTTTCAGTGTCTCCTTGCTGTACTGGCGAACACAACCGAGACATACCCTCGATGCTAAGGATGAGTCTGTTATTCAGTCTTATATGAAGGAATTGTGTAGAATATGTTGGTGTGGACGAAAGTTGCTTCTGAACTCGTATCTGATGTCTGTCGTGACAGTAAGTCCATTATTAAAGGAGTGGTACATCGGCCCAATCCTCTCATTTCACGACTCAGTCGTTCATTTCCTTCGATTCTTTTCCAATAACTTTTGATTCCCGAACACTTTCCTTATATATTTGTTACCAACAATTATAATATGCTTCTTCAGCGCCTCTTTCTCTTTGGCTTGGCCGCAGGCACATTGGTAACTCCTGCTCATCCTGTTCTTTTTGATCGAGACAATGGTATCTGCAGTGCAGAAAATATGAAGGTAGATATCAGCGACTACAACTGCCCCAAAAAGAATACGCTCGACAACAAAGGTTACTGCTCCAAGCCAATTCCAATGTCGGGAGGGTGAGTACAATAAAAATCCTAGCTGAAACAACCCAGATTTATCTGACTTAGTCTTTCAAGACTTTGAGCCCTGAACTGCAGTTCGAATCAATTGGAACTCTTTCGTTATCGAGATTATGTCTCCATCCGTTTTGTGGAAAACACTCGCTAACGTCTCCAAATTAAAGGTCATGTGGAAGTGGAACCGAGTGTTCTATTAGCAGCACCCAATCTATTAGCTACGTCAATACGTTCTCAATGAATGCAGGCATAGGTGGAGCGGTAGCTAAAGTATTAGAGTCAGCCTTCGATATCGGAGCAAGCTATACTTTCTCAAAGACCCTCTCCTACTCGGATACGGCGGGATCTAAGATAACCTTGAAAGAGAACGAGTGTGGATACTGGACTTTTATTCCTTACGTGTTAGAGTATGCTGCACCCCTCCTACACCCGTGGGATACCAAATGCCACTGGAAACAAACTAATAATTGACAATTAGATCCTGCGGTACCTTGACAGAAACAGCAGAGAAATCAGCACCTGCTGGGTATATGAACTCGGGGACATGCCAGTACTGTGATAAATCCTCCTACACAAACACAGCCAATTGGTGCAATACCACTCCGTATAAAAATGCTGCTGGTTTGGCTGATGGAAAGCTGTACTTAGTTTATACATATTGCAACGGAACAGGTGTAGCCTGGGAAAAGATGCAGGCTAGTCCTTATATATATCCCGGTGTCAGCACAGCTCAGAAGTGAGAGGGATCGGGTAGTCACATTTGGCGACGTGGTCTTGTGAATGATGTGGTTGTTTGGAAGCTTGTTCTTAAATCTCTTTTCAGAGAGAAAGTATCTGTCTTGCGACTCTCAGACTATGATTTCTTCATTCTTGTATTATCGATCTATCCTTCAAGAGCTTGAATTCAATATTTACAGTAATCTTGCATCCGATCCATATGTGAGATTCTAGATTCTCAAAAGTTGTAGCCTTCAAGAGCGATTTGATCATACAGGAAGGTCTCCCGGGATTTCTCTCGACGATAACGCATTGTTACAATCTTCGAAGTATATGACACTACATACACCCCTGGGCATCAAACTACTGATTCCAAGGTTAAGTTTCCATGATCATACTAATGACTTCAATATCATCGACACTTTGTACAGGTTCTCGGTATTACTAGCTATATGATAGTGCGGAAAGAGATGAACCAAGTCTCAGGACGAACTTGCATAACAAGAGCTGACAATTCATATTTAGACTCGAATAGATATAGAAAAGAGTATGTAGAGCACGAATGTTATTGATTTTAGTCATTCTTGAGGAAGTATTGATTCGTGCTTTTAAGCTCACTAGAGAATTGTGGGGAAACCGGAGTTTTCCGGCAAGGTGCGAGCAGCCACACGTTTTGCAGCCACAGATACAATTTCGCCAAAAATACCGTCCCTAGCCACACCACCAACCGCGATTGCATAGCGCGTTGTAACCACTACAATATCGTGAATAAGTCTCTATTCGAGAGGTCTCAGTACAGTATAGAAAAAGTTTCCTGTAAATACAAGAAAAACGGCGATGACTCTATGACAACTTTTGGGATTGAATCCCATTATATCGATTACACTGGCTACGGTAGCCTATACGCTCCATAGCCGCTGCGTTTCTGGATATTCTAGGCAGACGTAGAGCACGATTTATATAACCAATTCAAAATCCACCATTTCTTTCGCTTCGTGAAAACAGTGTCTTGCTTACATTCGTCTCCACTCTCACTTCATTTATCCACTTCTATCATCTTTATCGATTATTGCAATATTATCCACATCATACAAAGGCTGCATTCTTCAGTATCTGCTGTTTGGGAACAACCCTAATATAGCTGTACAATATTGGTGGTTAGGTTCCTCAGTATTTACTGTTTGGGAACAACCCTAATATAGCTGTACAGTATTGGTGGTTAGGTTCCTCAGTATCTGCTGTTTGAACTATCCTGATTCTTACTTTTCTCGATTTGTGGAAACAGTATCTTATTTATTTTCATCTCCATTCTTACTTTATTTCTTCACCCTATGATCACATTAAATAAAGGTTTTGTTCTTCAATATCTGCCGTTTGGGAACAACCCTGATACAGCTATATAGCATTGGTGGTTAGGTTCCTCAGTAAATATTGTTTGAATCATTCTGGTTCGATTCATGCCAAAGAGTCAAGGCTGCTCTATTAGCCTGGGTGGGTGGGATACACATCGAGTGTGGGATCATTTATCTCCAAGAAAATTGTCCCTTGACATGTTCATTACTGATCACAATTATAGCACACGGTATGGCGATTCCGATCGAAAAGCTTGGGCTGGAGAACCTCCTTCAAGAGAGAGTGTATATAAAATGGGTTGATGAGAGCCATCCTTATACGTTAGGTTCTTGCTTAGCCGACAATAAAGAGAAAACCAATTTTCTTATGAAAGTGGTCTGCGACTCAGAAAAACGTATTCATGTCTATTTCTCCCTTAAAGTGACTCATAAGCATACTGGAAAAAACCGTTCAATGGACATGTTATTGGTCGTCCCGCCGCACGGTAACTTTGAATGTTACTCAAAAGCTTTTCCAATATCGGGGCTCGATGATTTGTCCTCCCATGACGCATCTGCCCTCCACGAAGCCGGTATAAGTAATTTGGAGCAAATCATTGTCTTATCATTCGATCTACAGTTTACAGGATTCGTTGTTAGAAAGGAGAGGGAATCTGCGACTATTTTACCTTCAAACTCCACCTCGAGTACATTGATGCAGAAACTCAGATCTTTATCTGTTACGAAAAGCTTTAAGGTTTATATCAGACCTTCCGACTACGCGCGTGCAAGTTTGAAAACGGTAAACGAGCGCTTGCGTGATAAGGGCTCATGGATCTGCGAACCTGATATGCGGAAGATGTACTCTCAACAAGGTATTATGATAGTCGACTGGGCCCAAATTAAATATCGAGAACTCAAAAGCAAACCACTGCCACCGCCACCGCCACCACAATCGCAACCGCAACCACCACCATACACCGAACATGACGCACAAAGGTCGACTGACGTGCAGGTTCCTCGGTCACCACCAGTCGCAGATGTGTATTCGAACAAAGACATCGTGCCGGCAACGCCGAGCCTTCTACCGGTGTGCCATGGCATTTTCTCGCCCGACTGTGAAGAGCCGTTAGATGTCACAGACGACTTGGATCTTGACGATATTCGCAAAGATTCAGGGCATGTCGAACCATGTCCAGAGATGGACTCGGATGAGGAATACCTTGCCGTGTTGCATGCTCAACAATGTAGTCAACAAGTAAGACAAAACACAGACTTGGAGGCTCTTCGGTTAGAATTCACAGAGTGGTTAAAGGCAGCGATGTCAATAAACGAAAGTGTGTATGGACACAGCGGACTATCCAAAAAGTTATTCGCTCTTGGTGACAGTGTCCATGCAGCCAATGTTGGAATGTTTGACGCTATTAGACCTTGGTGTTCTGCACTGTTCCTATGCGACCCCATAGATTCAAGACCAACAGATGAATGGTTTGTCTCGGATATGGCTGGTCTCATTAAATGGGTTAACACATTTCACCGTGGCGCTGAGATGTCTATACTAATGGATGATTTCTTAAAGCTTGGTAATGCTGCTCGCGTGTGTGACAAGAGTGAGTACAAGCGTTACAAGGCTGACTTTCTGCTTCGCATATGGATCGAATTTGACTGCTCAAGTATTAGTATCAACGGGGAGAGCAGAAAGGTCTTGTCCCGAAAAAGGAATGTCTTGGAGACCTGTAGTGATGTTACTAAACGAGCTAAAATAACCACATAACTATCAATTATAAATTCTTTAATTCGAATCGCAGATAAGAGAGGGAGGAGGTTTGGGTGGTTTTACATTACATTAATGAATTCTTATATAAACAAGAGAGAGTTTTGCACAACCACCTCAACAGGCAGCCACGGAAAAATAGCACCTGATTTAATGATATCACTACTATTATTCGCCCTATTGGAAGTCCGTTGGATGTCTCTTCTTCTATGACAAGGGCCCTAGGGCAAGCATATATAAGCACTTTGAAAGTGTGCCTCCTTTACAATCTGCTAGAGTGTCTAGACCAAAGGCCCTAAAGCGAAGAGGTGGTAGCACAACAATGAGACTTGCTACTTAGTATACTGATTCAAATCTACAACAAAACCTGGGTAGATGCAGTTAGTTGGCAAGCTTTTCTGCACGCGTATCTCAATGGTTGATAGAGCTCGGCATATCTGTTGGGTCCGGTGTGCTCTTGACGTCTCTTGAAAATCTGCGGGAAGGAATGGCTTTCAAGTCAGCTCAATATGAGAAGTTTAGTGCTGGACCCATCTACCTGCTGCTGGAGCTCTATCAATCGCCGAGATTCAGCAACGTTCTCTAGCAGACACTTCTTAATCGGGGAGCTGTCATTTGCTGTATCCTAGAGCAGAACATCGCCGGTCTCCTCTCGGGTTTTGGGCAAGGCTATTGGCTCAGAGGTGGACATATAGGATGAGAAGTGCTTGTAATATCGACAGCTTGTTCGTGCGTTGGTACCCTACATGGTAACCACTCAGAAGCCTCGTAATTACTGTAGAATCCAGATCCTAAAGATCTAGTGGGTGAGGTCAAGCCATAAATAATAACAATGATAATCGCGAAAATGAACTGGAGTGTGCGGACTGTGGCTCTCACGTAGAGGCTTAAGGAGCCCTTCTTTTCCCAGTCTTGATTCTTTATTGTCGTCCTCGTGCTCGCTTTACTAATTTCTAATTGATATTGTTAGCCGTTGCTCCATGACTGGGGGGATACACGCTGTGGATGGATGTACAGTTTTCAACACTTTGTAGTCGATATTCAGGGGCCTCAACCACAGTTACAAGCTGGTCCTGATTGGAACGAGGCATCCATTAAAACCTACACATGATATGTTGTTTTGATTTCTCAAAATTTCTATTTACTGCACAACTGATGATAATTCTAGAATTCAGGCCCTGAGTAACGATAAGAGTCAATGGCGAAGGTATAAAAAATGTCACTTAATATGGCTGTGACTGATGATCATCGACACAATTTTCACGAGAAAAGTAGACATCTTCATAGTGTGACTCCAGGTATGTATGTGCTGTCGCTCAACTTAGAGACTAGGGAAGGATCCTTGAAACTAGTTTGCGTATTTCGTATAAGTATTCCTCAATAGGTCAACAGGGGTAACGTGCCCTGCCAAGCCCCTTCAAAACCATGAGATATGGCTTGGTTGGCGTCGGCAGACTTTTTGGTAAGGATCTAGCATATCAGAATAACTTACTGGGACTAGTTAGAACTATTCCGAGGAATATGACGATCTGCCGTCTGATTGCCGGCGCTACACTTTAAGATGTTCGGCTATACACTTCCACGTACTCTTACATGCATCCCTAATCCAGATTAGCGTGTCTGAGGTAAGCATTCGACTTGGAACACTAGTGGGTGTATGGACTCACGGGACAATACAAAAATAAACTTGTAAATATTTTTTGATATATTGAATCATTTATTTTAAGACTTGTTATAATTCTTGAATAAAGATAAGACAATCAAAACACAGATTCTGATATCAAACAATTGAAGAATGAATTTATGAAAAATATTGAAAATTGGGAAGTGTCCCGTCAGTCCATGCACCCACTGGTGGAATTTTGGCTTTGACATCCAAGCACGAACTAAGGATGGTTGGTTTTTGGACTGATCTTGGTCCGGTAGTTTTGATGGATCCGTCGCATGTTCGTTCCCTGCATTGACTTCGTCTCTACTTTCGTTGCCAGTAGGAATGGAAATCACTAGGTTGTAGAATCGCTCATCGGAAGTTTCTTCAATTAAAAATGGGGAATGGAGACTAACAGGACATATAAAGAATGCTGCCTCTTGGATTTCAGTCTGGTTTTCTCATCACAAAGATCACTTCTCTCTACAATGCAATCCCTTTGTAGCCTCCTTTTCTATGCAACCGTTCTCTCGGGCGCCTGGGCATCCAATTCAACATGCAAAACATCCCCCTTGGACCTTAATTGGCCTTCTATTGAAGATTGGCAAGCACTCAACACTTCTATAGGAGGAGCACTAATCAAGACGTCCCCAGTTGCTTCGTCTTGCTATCCAAGGAACCCGTTCAGCTCGACTACGAGCTGTGAGCTTACCACAGCAAACTGGACGTTGTCAGAATTCCATGCTTCACTACCAGAATCTATAGGTGCCCCTCTGTACGCCAATAACTCTTGTCTGCCTCCAGGAGCAGTTGGGTATACACAGCAGAGAGGTTGTAGCGTTGGTGGCTTACCTGAGTACGTTGTCAATGCGACAAGCGAAAAGCAAGTGTCAACAGCATTGGCGTGGGCTTCTCAGCGTAACATCAGGGTCATTGTCAAGGGTACAGGTCATGACCTGAATGGAAGGTAAGCATCCTCGATGGCGTTACAAATAGCTCGACACTAACCGTGCCAAAGATCAAGTGGTGCCTACGCCTTATCAATCTGGACCCACAACTTCAATAGCATTAATTTTGACTCCGCATGGCCTTCCCCAGGGACCAACACTACCGCTGACGTCGTGATTGCTGGTAGCGGCAACAACTGGATTCGCATTTACACCGCCGCGGAAGATGCCGGAAGACTTGTTGTAGGTGGAGGTACATCTACTGTAGGACTCGGCGGCTACATTCAAGGAGGAGGCCACGGCCCCACGTCCAGTCACTATGGCTTAGCAGCAGATCAGATCCTTCAAGTTCGCATCGTTACCACCAACGGCTCCATCTACACTGCCAATGCTCAGCAGAACCAAGATCTCCTCTGGGCAATCCGTGGTGGTGGCGCAGGCCAGTATGGAGTCGTGATCGAATATGTGCTGAAAACTCACCCCGCTCCAACCAGTGCTGTTCTTGGGACACTGACACTCTCCGCAAATGGCACAGACGAGTCGAGCATCAAGGCGGCCTGGGACGCACTTGCCGCCCAGGTTGCTGGAACTCCAGATCTCATGGACGCCGGTTTGGCTGGACAAATGACTGTAATATACGGGTCACAATCAGGCGTTATGCTCAGTGCGATGCAATCACTATTCGGCTACAATATGACTGCTGCTACCATGTCATCTCTTGTCGCTCCCTTAATCGCCAAAATCCGTGCGCAAGGTTACAAAACCAATGGAAGCATAGCAATCGACTCATCGACTCCTACGGAGTTCGCAAATTTCACTTCATTTTTCCATGCTATAAGTCCAGAGGGCACGACCGGCAGCGCTGGGGCCGCGTCCTTGATGTCCAGTCGCTTGCTAGGCCGAGAACAGCTGACTGACATCTCACAAGACCGGCTCGTCGGGTACCTACAACGCGCTCTCAAGAGCCAGTCGGGGAGCGGTGGGTTCATGATTTTTGGCATGCAAGGAGGAAAAGGCCCAGCTAGTGTACCGGTAGAAATGCGAGGTGCATTAAATCCTTCATGGCGCGCGGCGTACCTTCATACTATTACAATGGGTGCTTCCGTTAACACCACCACGGACCCGCAAAATAGCCTGAATTCAGCTGCGAAGTGGGTGAATGAGAACGAGGAGACGTTGTGGCATGATTGGGCTCCAGAGATGGGCTCTTATATGAATGAGGCCAACCCGTTCAATCCTGGCTTCAAGAAAGACTACTATGGGAGCAGCTACGATAAACTGGCGGCGATTAAGAAGCAGTATGATCCGACTGAGAGTTTGTTTGTCCTCACTGGAGTTGGAAGTGATGAGTGGGACTATAACTTGATTATGGGGAAGCTGTGCAAAATACACTGAAAGTGATTCGTTCAGGGAATGTCTTGACTGGAGACGAGGTACATTTTGTAGATAGCCTGAGAATAAGTCGAGAGCACAATAACATCTTTATACTTCTGGTTTTATAACAATTTACCTTTGCTCCAACGTTCCCGATGTAATCTCTGATGTTGTAGGACTTCTGAACCTAAATGAGATACATTAGTAATTAGAGACTTGGATCGAGATAAGGTGCACGATCACCACTAGTATCCAAGTCCCCAATCTCCTCTCCTTATAGGATATCTTCTACTTCCAAAATACTACCTAAGCCAGTAACTCGAAGCTTCTCAGTCCGTGAGGTGAATTGTATCTAGGCTGCATGAATACCGTCGTATTTGATTCATAAGAAGTTGGTTATGTGTGAGAATAGGAATCAACAAACACCTAGACACTTGTCTGATATGAAACACTGCTGACTTGGAATATGTAAACTTCTTGGTTCCTGAATATTCTTCTAATTCCTCTAAGGATTCAAAAAGCACAAACAAAGTTTCCGCGATTTGTGTAAAAGTTCGTGGTGAGCACTGCATCGTGAAGAGCAATGGTTCGCGACGGCTGTGACGGGGAAGAGTCACTTCTCGCCAGCTTATGCGACGCATTAAGGTATTGGTCTGAAGTGAAGATTGATGATTTGAAAATCAAGTCGACGAAATAACGTTTATTTTCTGGCACTGACGGTAGCTGAAGGCTGGACTAGGATGAATATAATGGTGCACATCTCGCCACGTGCTCACGTAGTTCGTTTTGCCATTCTGCTAGCATGCATTACATAATCCTCACGGGTCAAGGCGGTAGGAGAAAGCTTGCAGATTCCCCGCAAAACCTTCATCGAAATTTCCATCAAGTGAAATTAATAAATCTCGATTTTTCGCCGACTAAGGTCGATGCGACTAGAGTGATTTAAACATATTGTTCGGAGTGCGATTGAGGTAGCTCACTAAATATGGCCTATATGTTAACACTAATAACTGGCAGAGCGTTTTCATTTACGCATTGATATCAGTCTTCATGTTCTTCCTGTTGCTTGAACTATCGGATATTTATAAGAAATCGAAAAAATAATGTGTTTAATAAGCTCAAAATGATGACTTTTTACTATAAGCAAACTACTGAATACTAATTTCAAATGCCAAATAGAAATCTATTTTTAGTACATTGTTCAAATGCGCCTTATCGGCCTCGATATTAAAAAGATCGATAACTTGGCTTGTTGAACAGAGGAAAGAAAATGAAGAATCAATAGTACACAAAAACAGACGAGCATCATATCAAATGTTGATATTTGGTAGGTAGGTAAAGAATCGTTTTGACAATCTTTTGGATTATAGAGAACGCTATTTTTTAGTACTTTTAGCTCTCTCCGCATCTTCACTCTTCACTCTTGGCTCTTAACTCTAGACACCAATGAACGTCTTCTACCAAAAGTTTTCCGTCGGAAAAAGACTAGTACAATGTACTCGTCCATCTTCAGCGTACTTTTGTTACTGCGAGACTGGGGACTGGTCTACTTCTCCTTCAATCATGCCGACTAATGTTTGATTGAGCAGCATATATGCTTACGTTGTTCACCTGGGATCAAATCATGTTTACAGACGAACAATGCAAGCCAATGAGAGGGTGGATGAGTGTCTTTCTCCCCGTGGCATTGAACAGCATAGACAGCATTAGCAAGATCTCTGCTTCTTCTTGTCCACTGGGAGGGCAGAAACTTCGTGGGGGCTAGAATCTTGGGTTGCACAAAATGATAATAAAATGATAATCTGCAAGGCGAACAGCCTGACCGTAGACAAGGCGCACACAGCTTACTAGATATCACCAGATTCTGAGCCTCATTGATGTCAGACAACCCAACCAATATTATTGAAGGCTGCGAAGGATGAAATTCCATGACTTATTAACCTTCATTTCCAACGATTGAAGCTTGATCTCCTCAACACAACTAAGAATGCCTTCAGACGGTAACCAGATTGATGGTTGGAACTGCACAAATTATCCTGATTTAAAAGCAAATCCTGATATTGGAGGTATTGGGGTATGGTTCATTTGATTTCCCGATCACAGTCACTTCATCCAAAAACCCCGTTAACGACCATCACAGACAATATCCTCGTTTGTTGTTTCGGCATATCTCACCCTAATCTGCTGTATCAGCAAAGCTAGGATTGATTACCTCCGTTCTCCAGACAAAACGACACCAACGCTAGATATATGGTCATTTGCTCTTGGAAGATTGATCCTATCTTTCAGTGATCAGCAAGTTATCGTAGGAATAGCAGTTCTTTTAGCTGGCCTTTCGCAATTGTCATCAGGTCTTAACAATTATCACTGGATAACAGTATTGAATCTTGCCTGGTTTTCTGGATTTGTACACATATTGACCCTCACGGGTAAGTCTTTGATCTTTAAGCCTATCTATTTATCCACTGACCCTCAAAGCCATGCGAGTAGAAAATCGTTCTAAAAACAAAATCCGAAACATTCGTCTATGTGCTATGGGAATCCTCGCCTTCATACTACTATGCATGATGTACACTGTTGGATTGGCCACTGGCAGAGCAACTGTAACCTTCCCCGAGCAACCCGGGGTTAAAAGCGAGCTGATAACAACTCCTCCGTCGAATCTCCCAGCATGGTGCTTGTTTCAACCGGGAACTACATGGAAGATTCAAGGCAGCCCAGTCTCTAAGCTGGTGTACAATTGGCTTTACGTTGCGCTGGCTCTTCTCATTCTTATATATAGTTATGTAACACGAGCATTACTTTTATACTTCGATAGTCTAGGGCAAGTGGTATTTCCAGTGGTCAAACTTCTACGCCTTGATAAATTAGCCGACTTTGGTAAACGTCACGGATTTCCAGAGATAAAATCCATCGAACGTAGATTGGAAGGCATGGGTAAGTCTTGGGTGAGCTATAGAATACTTCGATCGCTCTATACACTCTTCCTTGCATTGAAACAGTCGTTTAGTTCAACTTTATGGGAGGTACGGAATATTCAGCAACCCTCCGTACATTATGCTAACAGTCACAGCTCGGATGGTTGTCATTTGCTCTCGCTTGGGGCACAGTTCGTATTTTTACTGTCCGTGAAAGCAGTGGTCTTCAACCGTCGAATGAGGAGAATATTTGGGGATTCGGCCAAGTTCTTGCCTTACTACTTTTAGTCCTACGGTTCTTGAACTTATATGGCAAGTATATGGGCTCTCAAACAATACTTAACAAGAACAAGAGCTGATCCTTCTTGAAGAAGCATTAAATACTCATCCAAAAGCGGATTCGTTAAAGAAAAACTCTTCAACAGGAGCACAAATTGACCTCGTTGTCTCCAGTAGTCATGACAGCCTACCGATGACAGCCGTCCTTCTATCTCAGACCGACTCGACCATTCCAAATATGTCACAGGAACCTCGGAAATCGCAAGTACAGATAAGCATCATCAACGAAGTTTGGTTCAATAAATTAATCATCACTGTGTACGGTATGTGCATCTCACTAGGATCTATTGCAATCTGGGTGATCCCTGCTTCATCTCCCATCAATTTGATGGCAGGACGAAACGGAAATGGGAGCTTCTACATGGGAGTATTCGCAGAATGGATTCTTTTCGATTGCGCTATACTTTGGCTGGCTACCTTGATATTCATTGATCATGATATCCAAACGTTCTGGGGTAGGTTCCTACTAGGCAGGATGCTGGCTAAGAGATCTTTTGTTTGGTGGAGCCTCATCATCCTTGCCGTGCTTGCAATGTCAAGTTATTTTATTTTCCAGCGATTGGAACCCGTCTATCCTCAATTATCGTAGAGAAGAGAGGTTTCCATTCTGGAGCAGAGCTGAAGCAGGCTTCTATAAGGGGAGAGGAGAGGAGAGGAGAAAGGGAAAATAGACAAGATTTTTCGATTTTTTCCCTACCACTTAGGAGACGAGGGGCGGAGAAAAAGAGGGCATTTCAAATTTCTATCAACCCAGTTCTTCCGGTGAAATAATGAGTTGGGCTTCCGGATGATATGAACCGTTTTGTGGTTGCAAAGACTTCCTACACGTGGTTTTATTAGTGGCTTTGGGTTTCTAGACCCGGCACGGAATGGCAATGCAGCTCCATCTTGTCGACGGATCTACAGTAATTAGGACTTGGCAGTTGGAAACCCGAGTTTACCTACCGAAGAATTACGAAGATAGTTGCATGATGGTTCCAAGGCGGAGGTTCTGAAGGGACAAGTAAGGCACAATTTTAGGGCAACTGATGTATGTAATCAAATATGGAGATGGAATCGCTAAAATATCGAAGTTAGAGATTGGATTGAGCACACAATATGTCAAAACTACCACGAGAAGTATCTGGAAATGGAATGAACTTGAAAAGAAGTCAGGGAGGTGCCATGGTTCTTGCGTCATGGCACTAGTCCACCCCGCTATCTTCTTCATGTATACAAGCAAGAAGTCTCCTCGACTTTCTTTTCTCCTTACTTCATAGTCTTAGATAACCGATATCCCTGCTACGTGCACGACCCTACTATGTGCACACTTTTATTATTTATATAGAAAATTGAATTAAAAATTGAAAAAGCGATATTATAATTTTAAATTCAAAATTGAGATAATTGAAATAAACTTATATAATATTTTGAAATAAAAAAATTAAAAATCTCAAAAATTACAATAATAATAATGATAAATAAGATATTAACTTTTATAAAAAAAAATATTTATTTATTAATATATTTTATAATATAATTAAAAATATAAGTTTTTTTTAATGAAATTATGAGATTCCATATATTATAATATAAGATATTTGAAAAAAACTAAAGTTTTTTATCGAAAATTTGAAATTATATTAATATTAAATTCTAATATATTTTATAAAAAATATTTTAATAATTAATTATTAATAGAATAATGAATTTATAATATTTTATTCTATTTTTAAGTTATATAATAACAATAATCTTTTAAAAAAATATAAATATATTAAAATATATAGTTTATTAATATTATATTTAAATAAAGATTTATAAAAACTTATTAAGAATTTGATTTAATCTAATAATAAATATAATATAAGTATTTATTAATTTTTTTGAGAAATTTCAATTTTAAACCTTTTTGTTATATAGTTTTTAATCAATTATTAAAGAATGAAACTATATTGATCAGATTTTGATTTAATAAAAATTTAAATTTTGAAAGTTAAATTATTAATTAATATTAAATCAATTTTTATTTAAAATAATTTTTTTTAAAATGAATTAATAATATTTGAATTAAAAAAAACTTCTTTTTAAAAAAATTTATTTTAAAAGAATTTTATATAATTAGAATCTTATTTATTTAATAGAATTAAGATTTAAATAATTTTAAAAATAAAATTTCAAAAATAAAAAGATATTTTTTAAATAATTTTCTTTTATTAATCAAAACTTTATATATTTTAATATTTAATATAATTCCTTTTTTAAAAACTTATTTTTTAAATCTTTAATATTAAATATAAAATTTAAATTCATTTTAAAAAATATTTTTAACTTTTCTAAAATTATTATAAATCATTAGAAAAATCTAATAATCTATATTAAATTTGATTCTTTTACTTTTTTGATTTTTTTGATTTTTTTATAATATTATTAATATCAAAAAATCTATAAAACTTTATTATAATTCTATAAATAGATTCTAATATATTATTTATTAAGAAATTATATATCAAGATTCTATATTCTCTTTATTTAATTATTCAATCAATTCTTAATTTAATAATTCGAAATCCTTATAAATCGAAGTTGATAATATTAATTAATTATTGAATTAAATTTTATATTATTATAATGATTTTTAAATTTTAAATTGATTTTTGTTTTGATATAAAAAAAGTGTGCATATAGTAGGGTTGTGCACGTAGTAGGGATATCGGTTAAAATACGATTTCGACCTTATTATTATTAGAACAACTATTTCAATATTCAACAAAAGCCTAACCAAGAAAACTTTACCAAAGCATTTTTGAAATCATGAAAAAATAGATGAACGACTCAAAGCTCAGTTGTTACAAATTAAAATGTAGGATACTCTACTCATCAAAGCGTCGAAGCGTCGTAATAATAAGCTATCTTCCCTCTAGATGATCAAGTGCCGTACCTATATATCAGACATCAGTTCTATATCAACACGCTTTCCAATCTCCTATATATCTCCTAATTTTTTAAATCCAATTATTCTCCTCTCTCTCTCTATTTCCTCCTCACTTTCTTCTCATTCAGTTTACAATTCGCTTCCTCCTCATTCTCCCAACTATATTCTTTTCTCTTACTCTTACTCTCTCCATCAATCTCATATATATATAAATATATGAATAGATAAATGAATAAACGTACGTACACATCTCGCTACCCATAAAGTAAAAGTACCTACAACTAAATATCTTTAACTAACTACCTAGGTATCTTCATCCCATCCATCCCATCTCTCAACTCATCCCATCTCTCATAACACAACATCCTCGAGTCTACAAACCAATTGTTAAAATTCTACTCATGTAGGTATTTTCTCATATTCATATTCATATCCATATACTCCATCAGGTGCATAGGTGCATAGGTGAATAGGCGAATAGTTAAAAGGTAGTTATCACACACTCTATATATTCCATTCCCTACTACTCTATCCCATTCCTACTAATCTATCTCACTCTTTACTACCCCATCCCATATTATTACTCCATCCCCAATTCCTCCCTCTCGAATCCACAAATCAGCGAATGATACAAATTTATTTACACAAATCCCGAAGTACTACTATCTCAAAGTCTTAATATTATGATAATATCAGGTTATTAGTCAGATATACCTAGATATCTGATTGTATAAATCGTGAGGCATGATTCATGATTCATGATTTATGATTTGTTTAGTTATGTTAGGACACCATTAAAAGAACGCAGCACGGCAGAAAAGGGCATCACACCAACGAAAGAAAACTTCATCATCACTAGAAAAACTATTTATTCCCGCTCCCCTTCCACTTTCCCCTTTCCCTTTCCCCTTTCCCTTTCCCCTCACCCCTCTCCACTCACCCCTCTCCCCTCACCCAAAATAAAAACAAACCCCCTACAAAACCGCTACCCCCAAAAACACCGCCAAAACCGCCGCATACGCTCCCAAAACCAGCATGACACCCTTTACCCCCCATTCTCGCTCTCCCCCTCCCAAAAACCCTCTTTTCCCATCTCCATCTCCATCTCCATCTCCATCAACACCTCTCTCCCCCTCCATACCCTCCCATCCACTTTTGTGCTCTCCTCCTCCATCCATAATCCATACGAGTATGATGCCCATAATTGCGACGCTGACTCCGATGATTCCTACGCCGGCGGTGTGGGATATACCGCCGGGCCAGAGAATGAGGATGCTGATGGGCGCGAGGATACTACCACCACCTGATGAGAATTAGTGGGGGTTTGCATGGGAGATTGATGTTATTGAGGAAATAGATAGATTTCAAAGGCAACAGCAGCCCCCCCCTTCAAAAAAGAAAAGCAAAAAGACTCACCCACAACCCCCCCCACAAACCTCCCCACTCCCCTTCCCCATCCACTTCCCCCTCTTTCCCCCCTCCTCCTCGCCCCCCTCCTCACACCCGCCCAAACCCCATTACTCACACTCCAATCCGTCTGATACGCGACCAGCTTCCTCTCCAACTCACCAATCCACTCTCTTTCGGGCGGAAGATTCCACGCGCGCGCACACTCGAGAATCGCAAGTTGTTTGCCGTAGAGATGGAAGCGCGGGGGAAGAGATGATCTGGGGAGTTCGAGGAGCGCCATGGGGGAGCGGAGCCAGTAGGTGTAGTTGCGGATAGAGCGGGCTGGGGGAGGGGGGAGGGAAGTTAGTGGAATGGAAGATGCGTGGGAGATGGGTGAGGGAGAAGGAGAAGGAGACATACTGTATTTTTCGAGATCTTCTTGGATTTGGTCCCAGCGGGCGGGAATGCGTACTTGATGATTTGGTTAGCCGATGCTTGATCTTCTATCTTCCATCTTCTGTCCTCCAGCTTTGAGCTTGAAGTTTTAAAACCTTGCATTTTCAAAAAAGAAAAAGAAATAGGTCCAGGAGTCATAGACCCTGAAACCCTAACCTACAATCCTCATATTTCTCATTCCGACTCAACAAAATCCAATTATGCATATGCAATTTCGCCGTCGCGTGCAAGATATCCTCCAAATACATCGTTCGCAGCATTGCTCTATGTTCACCCATTGGGTATCTATTTTCTTATCAGCATCTTAAACTTCTCTTCATCTCTTTCTCACATCTCCCCCTCACATCACATCTCCAAGAAAACTCACACATCCGGCAAATCCTCCGGTCGAGGATCATATTCCTCCAAAAACTCCTTCAGATCCCTCGGCGACACATCCTCTTTCCTCTCCCTCTCCATCGGTCCCGTAAATCCACCTTCTCTCACCCCCTCACTCGCCCCTCTTCTCTGCATGACCGGTTTCCTTCCCTCCACATCTCCATTCTTATCTTTATCTCTATCCCCACTCCCCACCCCCTGAACTCCCATCTCCCTCTGCACACCCCCCAACGCATTCCTCAACGCCTCCCGAAAAACCCGCGAGTGGTAATGCACCTCCTTATCTTCATCCCCTAACACATCACACTCACAACCACACCCCACACTCCCATTTCTATTCGACCGAAACTGCTGTTCCGCAACTTGATGCTTGAGATTTTTCTTGAGTCGGGAGTGTGGAGAGAGGGGTGTAGGGAGAGCAGCAGGAGGAGGTATACTGGCAGGTACAGAAGTAGGTGAAATACGAAGAGCGCGATCCCGATCATTCGGATCACTCATACTAAACCCTCTTCTTCCACTCGGAGGAGTTCCGATTCCTGTTCCGATTCCTGTTCCTCTTGCGGGAAGAACACCCAAATATTCATGAAGACGAGCAAGTTGCTCCTGATCCAAGCGATCCAAACCTGATCTCTCATCAACCAATCCATTCCCACTCGCACCCCCATTCCCCTCCCCCTCCCCCATACCCACACCCCACTCCCTCTCACTAAACGTCCCACTCTTTGGACTCGGACTAGGCGGCGGCCGAAAAATCGTATCATGTCTATAGGACGCCGAGGGAACACTAAAGGGCGAATGTTGGGCGTGTGGAGAGAAGAGAGGAGAGGGATTCGGAGGGATGTGTGTGCGTCCGCGATGATCGCCTGTGAAACCTTTTTTGTACGTGCTGCGATTTTGGCCTCCTTCGAGATCCGGGGAGCGCGAGAAGAGGGAGCGCATGTTGGTTGAGGGGCGGGGGGGGGGCTGGATAGGTATTTTTGTAGGGATGATATAATGGTGATGATGATGTTTTGGAATTAGGGGGATGGATTTGGAGAGTATAACTGGATAATGAGATGGATAGATGGAATAAGGTATATGTGTTTCGAAGAAAAGGAAAAATTTGGTTGCACTTTCCCAAAGTGCATAGCGTCGACTAGTTGTACACCATATAATATTATTTCTATGTCTAGATCTAGTCTATCTTTTCTAAAGTCTAAAATCTTCGCCTCTCTAGTTGTCTCTATACATCTATAACTGCAAAAAAGACCTCCTCGAATCAAATCCAGGCTTCTAGTATTGCACACACACAAGCCAACTCCTACAACTTCGACTTGAATTTCTTATTCTCCTCTTGCAATGGTGCAGCCTCGCTAACATCCACTTTCTTATCATCTGTGTTCTTCGCTGGACTACCAGGAGTATCCTTCTTCTTGGGTGCTGAATGATACCCACCCTTTTCATTATCCAAGTTTGTAATATTACCCTCGCTATCTCTTTGAATACCCAACTCAATCAACTTTGCAAAGACTTTACTGAAATCTTCAAAGAACTTTTCCTTATCATCTGCGTATTTTCCGACCCATTTCTTGAACTCCTTATCTTGCGTCAGAGCCAAATCTGTTGGAAGCATCATCAATTCCGTCTCGGTATCCTCATCATAGTTGACGAATTGTTCGATTCCATTCGCCAACTTCTTCTTGCGCCATTGAAGAGAAAGCAAAAGTCTGTAGTATTGATTCGAAAATCTCGTAGGATTATTAACCCAAGCTCCCTCGAACCCAGATCGGTCGCTATGGCATCGTCCCAGATTATGAGCTCCACTCAGCGCCACGATTTCCTGATCATTAAATCCCATGCGGTAGAAAATCCATCGAAGATGATCGGATCCTTGTGCTGCATCGGGTAGACGTCCTCGCGGGGGCAATTTTGAATCATCGACATAATCTGTTCGTCCACCTTGCCATGGGATATCTGGTCCACCCATTTCTTTGATCGCCACAACTCCTGCTAATGTCCAGAGATCCGCATATGTTATCCAGGGATGCTTGGCCTTGACTGGTTCGAGGAAGACTCTCGCGTGTTGAAGACCAGCGTTTGCTGGATCTCCTCCTTCACTCTCGTATCGCATACCGGCTCCATTGGATCCACCTGTATCTGTTTCAGAATCGTATGTTCCAGCCGAATGCCTAGATGATATTAGTTTGTGAATGAAAAGGAATCATTTGCGCCGAAGTGGATTGCATTGATTTCGCATAGTTTAGAGAAGACATGGAATGAAAGATCACATACCATGCTAAGCGCACAAGAACTGGTCCAGCACTGCCATCGTCATATTCTGGTTGGTGTAAAAGGCCAATAATATCCTTTCGGACGGCGGCAAAATCCCCTTTCTTGCTCATTGTAACTGTTGTATTTTTGAACACGTTCTGATATGGAATATATATGAAATTCGAAACTGAATGGACAAAAAGAAGTCTAGAACAATTGCCACTGACAATATGAATGAAGCAAAAAGCAAAGTAAAGGGGAAACACGAGGAAAAGTTTGGGAAAGGCGTTCAAACCAAAGAGACGCCATGCCGAGGCTCGCGGCAATACCTACCTAGAATCCCCCATCCATATGTTAATTCCTTTACCGCGCGATTGTCTTGTGAAAAACCGGGGCAAAATGATACAAAGATTGTGGGTCAAGTCGATGAATCATGGAGTTTTAATGACAGTGATAAGGGCGTGATGTTAAATTTCATTTTTGTGATACGCCAATTCTTTTTTACCGAGGTCGGAGTAGATAAAATTCGAGGCGAGGATATGATTTCTGGGGGTGTGAGTATAGCTTTGTCTGTGTGTTTGCCTTTTTACTAGATAATGCACGAGGGGTGTGGTTAGCCGGAAATTCTTTGAGAGCAACCGGAGGGCGAGAACGAGAGTAAGACTTCTTTTAGAGATGGTTTTTTAAATCTAGTATAAATTAAGTTTTTGAGATCAAGTTATCAGTCACTTGGCTAGCTGGCTGATGTCATTCAGAGAATAACTTTTAGATATGAGTGCTATTCAATTGCCAAATAGATGCAGGCAGCAAACAGAATTCCTCACGCGTTTAACTTTTTGGCTTACCTAGGTGTCGTCATGTCAGCTTGTGAATGATTTCTCAAATGTACCTACTGAAATAGATCTTGTAACAAAGATTATGGACATCCGATGCTTGGATCAACTGTTTGCTTCTGCGAACATGATGCATACAACGAGATGAACGTATTTAGGTCTCAACCTATAGCACAATCGCATCCGGAATCTGCATCATCATCCGATGAGAGAAAACAGAGAAGAACCATCTCATATACGTAATATTGAGGTATTACCCACAAAGACCAATTCACATGACTTGTTCCCATGCAATATATGAAACACATCTCTCTCGATTCTACAACGCACCGGAGCGTGTTTTATGTCGTACAAACAAGCATCAAGTAGTGGTTTGGTTGCGGGTAAAACGTATCCTTGTTGATGACATCCAAGGTCCGCATCCAATTGGAGATGTTGTCTGCAAACGTGGGATATTGTATTGTTGTTATCATTTCTTCATGTGTATGTACCGGTACCTAATGCTCTCTTGATGGTGAGAATGAGGATGGATGATCAGCCGGCGGTTCGGAAATCTTGTCTTGAATCCCTCGAGAACGTCAACATCAATTTCAATTGAGCGTTTATCTTTTCTTGGCGCCGCGTGGGAGCATGGGATAGATGGAATATCAAAATGATTTTGATATGGTGGTACAAAATTAAAAGAAGGAAGGGGTCAGCTGAAAATTCATTTCCAGAATGCAGATAGATACTCGAGATTTGAATAGATAATGGACTGAAACCCGAGTACATTCTGTACACGGAGAGAAGAAGAATGGATAGTGAAGGACCTGCTTTGGTATCCTATCATTGTATACCTGTTGATGATATGACACTTGTAGAATAGATGATACTCCGTACATGTCATGTTCGTGTAAGACAGTTTGTCTTAACCGGATTCGATGAAGGGGGTGAGGGTCATTAAAATGTATGGTGACGCCAAAATCCACTTTCTGCATATAACAAGACTTGACTTCTCCATAACATTGCAGCAAAAATGTCAAAAAGTTGAATTCTTTCCAATCACACGCAGACTGAACCTTGAAAAGAAGCAAAAAGAGTGAGTGAGTTCAAGACATCTACTAGGGATTCGTTTGATACCAGTAGGATGGGTAGGAATTTGATTTCTCTTCCCCATTCTTTTCATCGTTCATCAAGAATTCTGACTCACCCCAATGAATATACGTTCTTTCCCATCTGAAACCTATATAAACATCGAGGAATGGAAGAACCGAAGATTGATGAAGACGTCACACTACTTGGGTAGACACTCATCATTCAGAGGTTTGTCACAAAAGAGAAGGAAAAAAAAGAGGGTATGGATATGGATATGGATATGGGTATAGTATGATTCTGTAATGTATTAAGAGCTATCAAAGAGCGGTTGTAATTAATAATTACCGAAATCGACCTTTCTGGACCAAAAGGAGCTGTTAATCCATTCCACTATCGGCATATCCGAGATGCCCGGATTACTGCTTTCATCAAGATCAGTCTGAGTGACAGAAGGAAAGAGGAATAGCTGGGGGTCGACTCCGTAATATTTCCCCGAAGTACAAGCCAGGAAGGAGAAAAAGAGAATGAAGGATGGTAAGATTCTTATCATGAAGAGTGGTTTGGCGTGATTAGGTAGGTAGTTACTCGTAGTAGGTAAGAAGATAATGATCCCATGTTTGTCAAAGATTAGATCCCCGGTTCATTTGATATCAATATCATTTTGCCTATCGTTCCACCCACGTTGGATGTGAAATTGCCCTATCGATTTTTAGCTTTCTAACGTTACTTGAGCTTAAAAGTTAAAGCGTGACCCTTGAAGAGAATCAGCCGGGGCAGGAAAGGAAAGGAATCCATTGGTGGTGTATCAATTGAACCCAGTGTTTCATTCGTCCCGCGGCGGGAAGATGAGGGAGGAGGGTACTTGTGATTGACTGTTGAAGATGTATGTACTCTGTATGGGTATTTGGTCTTTGGTTGGAGAAAGGGAAAGGGTACTTGTGACTGACTGACTGACTGACTGTTGAAGATGTATGTACTCTGTCTGTATGGGTATTTGGTCTTTGGTTGGAGAAAGGGAAAGGGTTATCTACTCCGTATATACTTTATACTTATTAGTACCTACATTGCATGGCATGCATGTAAGAAAGATATCATTTGCAGCTTAAAAAAGAATCAACCAAGGAATACCATAAAGCAAGACGTAGGTAATTAAAATACGATGGTAGATTACGATTAGCTCTTTGCAGATATACTTAAGTTATACTTATTATTATTACCAAACTACCTACCGAGCTATCTAACATGCACTTGTATCGAAACTTTATAGATGTGACACGAGCCGTCTAAGGTCTGTCACCCGTGACCTGTGAAATTAGGTCGTCAGGTCGTCAGGTCGACAGGTAGTGAAGTGTGAAATGAGTGAAGCCTGATATTAGTGAAGTGTGAAGTGAAATGAAATGAAATGAAATGAAATGAAATGAATGAAATGAAATGAGAAAAAAAGAGCCAACCCCAGACCAGAAGCAGAGCCAAAGCCAAAGCCAGAGCCAGAACAGACAATAGTCTACAGGCAATTTCAACTCAACCCACGAATACGAAAAGCACTCACTCAGTTCACTCAGTTCACTCAATTCACTCCATTCACTCTTCTTACTATCATTCCTTTCTCCTCTACTCCTGTCTCTTCTCTCCACCTTCTCTCGTAATACTCTTTTTATATTTCTATATATATAATTGGCTTATTAATAAATAACTTATAACAAATCCATTAAATTATACGCTTCTACTATATATCTTCTTCTTCTCTTCATCACCTTGCTTGCTGTCGTCACTAGCTTCATTTCTTCCAACCAACCTTGGAATCCATCGCATCGCATCCCATCGCATCCCATCGCATCCCATCCCATCCCATCCTATCCACATTACATTCAAATCCACATCCCTATCTTATCCGTTCGTTCATTTATTGTACTCACAACCCCCCACTTCACTTTATATTTCTCAATCGAATTATCGACACAGTACATACGACCTACATACATACAATACAATACAATACAATACAGCCACATGCAATCAATCAATTTATCCGTACGCCTCGTCCTCTCCTTCGTTGATTCGTCTTTCGAGGTGGTACTGGATTGATTGTTTGGTGGTTTGATCCTTTGATTGTATGGTCGATTGTTGATTGAGATTTACTAGGTACCCAGGTACCGTACCTAGTTACACTGCAGTATATCAAAATTACGCTCTTCATCAAAACACAATCCCTGGAAAAACAGTTATCATAACGTTACTTTGCATTTAATTATCTCCCCAAAAAACCCTCAACTCCTACAAGGAAAGAAAAGAAAAGAAAAGATAAGAAAAGAAAGGAAAGGAAAAATATTAACCTTCTCTCCAATTAACCCGCATTCTCCCTCCCCCCCCCCCCCCCCCCAACATGTCGAATTCGGAACAAAGAATGCTCGAGAGCCGAATACAAAATGGAAGTCTCGAAGCTGTGTCAGGTCTAATGTCCGACCAAGCTGGGCATAGTACAACCACCTCTATGAACGGTGTAAAAGCAACACAAAACTCAAACATTTCTCTACCTTTATCTCTTCAATCAAATCAAATGCCAGCTTTCACTGCCATCTTCAAATCCAATACCATAGCACCTTCGCCCCCTCACAGCAGATCCACTTCAACAAACGAGGCATACACCCCACTCGCGCTTGACACCACTTCTCGTCTTCACCCAAATATAGATTCGTCATATAGCCAAACTCCGAGTCCTCTAAGCGCGGGTCTGCGAATACAAACCGATATCGTTCCGGGTTATACAATAACATCTGCCAGCACAGGAACCGGAGTCACTGAGCGCGAATCTCCCGATACGACACGAATTCCATCAAGATCCGGTGGGCAGATAGGAATGTCTCTCGCGCGAACTCCAAGTGTGAAGAATGTCCTCGCGAGTAGCATAGGTAGCAACGGCTCGGCGCCAAACTCAGCATTGTCCTCACCAATGTTGAACGCAATGGCAGATGTAACCCCTCTACCCTCACCACTCATGTCGGGGGATTCACCTGGACCATGGAAACGATTAAACTCGAGACGAACATCCCGCGAGCAAATGCTACCAATGCATTCGGATTCGGCTCTGATTACATCAAATGGTGAATCAGTTTCCTCTGCGATGGCAAATCAACAAAAGAGAAGGACATATCATGGATTGATAACAAATGCTGGCGAATCGGGGTTGACGGATGCTCAAATAAACCGAAAAAAGAATGCAGAAG